TAATTGCAATTAACAATGCCATGTGGAAATATTATATAAAGAAACAAATTAATTAGTGCTATAATTCACCATGATTTAGTACTATAATTAACTGTTTTTCTTTTGTTTTTATGTACTTAAAAGAAGGAAGACAAATTCTGACTTAATGGTTTTTGTTTTCTTTTAACTACATGTCATAATATAGATACGTGCATGTCTATTCTGTCACCGATAAAATGGTATTATTGACAATTGCTTAATATTACATAAAAAATCCATCAGTATCAATATGGATGAAATTTCAAGTATTATCGACAAAATATTCTAATAGTTAAAAACATAATTTTTATAGTAATGTCAACCAAAAAACACAATTATTTCGAAACTTAAATAATTAAAAAGAAAGTGGACTACCAGTATATTATTTTAGCATGTGTGGTTATGATTAATTGACTAAAAGTGAAATTGAAGTTAGATATTATAATAAATGTTAATAAATAAATAAATAAATAAATAGGGTGTTTCAATTCTTCAACTATGCTATTAGGGTTGGACTTTGCATGTATAATTAAGATGAACAAACAATACTTTGGAAACGTTATCACATGGGTTTTAATAATTGTCTTTTTGTTGACATTGTAAGAAAGTCTACATATATAGCCTTAGCATATACTTAGAAATTAAATTAAATTAACTTTGAAGATAATGCACTCCATTATACATTACTCCAAAATTAATCATCACCACCGTTTTTTAAAACATTTGTGGGTGACAATAAATGCTACCAACCAAAAAATATATATTTTATTAATTGCTTTTCATGGCCTACCCATCATTTCCATAAACTCTTTTTAAGGCTAAAATCAAGCTAACAATTGGTTTTTTTTTTTCCTTCAAAAATCTCAATACGTAAACCTCAAATAGACCCCTCATGGTTTAACTTTTCTCATATAAATTTTTTTTAATTAACATTTTTTGAATAACTTTAATTTCTACAAGGATTACATTATTAATTTTACCAAGTAAAATTATAAAAAAAATATTAAATATGAATAAATAGATTAATTTTGAATTAATGATATTTTAGTAATTTTATTAAAACAAAATTAAAAACTATTCACGTGTTAATTGAAAAAAAAACCCATAAGATATTATATAAGAAAAGTTAAAATTACAAGAAGTATAGGTGGAATTTATCAGTTAAAATATTAAAACCAAAGTTGTCTCTTAGGTACAGGAGAAGGGGACCAAAAAAAGAATATTATAAATTCAAGTTAAAGATAATGATTAAGATTAAGTTAGTATTTAATTAATAGGAATAATTAATATTCATTTGGACTCTTTTATTTTTTAAGCTAAGGAATGGATTATGATGAATGAAATTTAATTTTAACTCCTTCCCCATTTCTTCCGTACCACTCGATGGTAGAGAATTTTGATAAGTTAAATTATTGCTAAAAATGCATATTAAATTGTCGGTGGTGACCCCTTTTACATTATAAACATTATATTAAAGTATTAAATTAATTAATCCATGGACTATAGTAACATGCATTTATTCTATTAATGTAAATGCTTAATTAATTTCCCCTGTTGACTTTACGCTTCCAAATTGATTATAATTTTCTATGTATTAGGTTTAATGTAGAATTGTCTTATTAGACTTATATTATTGGAAAGAAATACAGAGTCATATAATTTAATTTAATTTAATTCCCTTATGAATGTACTACATGGTACCCCATATCTTGCTCACCCCTACCAATAAATATTATATACAAATAAAAGCAGTGAATCTAGAAGACTTAGATCATTCAAATGCAAGTTTTGCCCAAATAAATTTTGGCAGATCAAGAACTTATATTTGATATTCTCTTTTGTCTTTTTCAAATAGTCTATGTCGTTTTGTTTGAACCTTGATTATTAGGTTTAAATATTCGTTTTAACATGATTAGCATGAATATACTAATTAAACCTTGATTATTAGGTTAAACACTCAATTTAAGATTTAACTGTTGTCAAAATTTTCATTTCAGAATTCAATTGATTATTATCACGATTTAAATTAAGACGTAGAAATGAGTATGTTATCAATAATAAAATTAAGTCGAATCCTGAAATGGAAAATTTGATAAAACATAAAAATCATAAATCAAGGATTTAACCAGCTTATTATCATAGTAAAGGTTTATAATGAGGATCGGCTGCACTCTTCCATGATAGAGACTGAGATAGAAGGTGTCAAGAGGAGGAGGAGCAAAGGTGCATGGGGCTGACACAAACTCTGGGCACAGCCATGTGGGTGCATCCTTATCAAAGGGGGACAATGCACCTCCATCGCACACAGAAGAGACTTGTTTTGCATTTCTACATCCATGTGGATCTCCCCTTCGTCTCTGCATCCTTTCCCACTTGAATTCCTCCATTTTTCATGGGCTTTTGGGTCCACTGCCAGTCTGCCACCCCCGCTTCTCCACCCACCGCCACCCCCACACCCCCCAAAAAAAAAGGAAAAAAACACCACACTGCCTTGCCTATTTTCCAAAACACATTTATCACTGCAAACGCACATTATCTGATATAATCTTTTTAGGATCAGTTCCATCAAAATTCAACTGTATTTAATCATCACATTTAATGTTCAAATCACTAGAAAATTTAGCATGACCAGGGCTTGGACCACCAATCTTTGAGCATATAGTTATATTGTTGGTTTAGCTTGTAGATCAGATTAGCTTCCCCTTGCATGCAACATGATATTTCAGATCAGATTAATTGCATTTTCATGTTTTATGTTCTTTTTACAGGTAAATTCAGGACATTTATACAATGCAGAAAACCCAATTTTCCTGAAGAATTTATTAGTAGTAATAAATTTGCCCCAACGAGATGGCTCCTTGGATATGTTGAGGCACACAATTTTCTTGACCTTTCATGTTGCTTTCTCACTGGAACCGCTTCATGTTACTGAATCTTACATGTGGATTTTGGGATGTTTCCACTTGATATTCCATTGGCAGGATTCATGCTAGAAGTCAAGAGTTGATGCTTCTCCTCCATTTGGGAATCATCCCATTGTTGTTTTTTATTTTATTTTTCTATTCCTGTGGCCAGTATTCTCAATATATCCTCATAACTTGTCATCAAGCCACCAAGTCGCAGAAAATTGCAGTATTTCTATCTGCACTAAGATATTAGAATCCTACCATCTGAAGCGATCACAAAAAGGAATCACTGGTGCAGTCCTTGGAACTCCCATGGTCCCCCTATTCCTTGAAAAAACAATTTTGCTGTCAACATAAGGATAGTTTTCCATGTTGATAACTTCTTGCAACTTGTGTGCCATGGAGCTACCCTATACCTCATTTCAGTTATCAACAAAACTCCTGGATCTCTCAAAGCTTCCAGGGTCCAACATTCTTTATTTTTGCAGCCCTATGCCAAGGCTTGCTGCTCGGCTTAGTGCAGAGGTTCTTTAATGGCTAGGGTCTCACAAATTTACTTAAAACCCAATTGGATACTAATGCAAGAAGCTAGCTTAACCCATCCCAATAGGAAAAACTAATCATGGTTCAAAAATATCAAAGAAGACCCAACATTTTTATAACATGAGGACCCAGCTGGTACAGAAAAACATTGCTGCCACTCGTTCTTCACCTTCCAACATATATGTGCAAGTACATCTGGGAAGGCCTGGCCCCTGTCTCAATTCTCAGATGGGGAAAATGTGTTAGTTCAGTGCAGTGATTCAATTTGCTAGACAAAAGCTTTTTTCTTCCGTATCTACAGACTCCAGAGTTTATTCGGAAGCAGACAGCAAACAGTGTGATATCGCAATCAAGGGGGAAGGCATTTTTTCATGGTGTGGTTATTTATGGCACGGTTTTAGAGGACAAATGGCCATGTTTGTGTAAAAAATTTGCAGGTCACGGTCTTGATATAAATTTATGAACATGCACTTAAACATGTTGTGCAGAGAGTAGACAATAAGATAGCTGATTGGGACGCTGAGTTCAATCGATGGGAGAAACTTTCTCCAAAATTTTCCAGGAAAATGGAGCTGTTATCCCTGTTACTGTTTAACCAGTTGTTTCTAGTTGAGAATTGAAGTCTGTAGCAAGGACACCCAACAGCTTTTCCTGTCCCATTTTTACTCTCCTGCTCCTCATCCTACCCTAGTTTAATCTCAGTTCTTGAGTAAATTGCCACCGTTTTTCACCTACTCGGGAGGATCAACTACCACCCACAGCAACCAAGCCACCCCTAGGAAGCTCGAAAGTAGTTAGCCACAGAGAAGAGGGAAATCTTGGGTACAACATACTGTATTCTGTGGGCACTGGCTCAATGGGGCCAAATTTAAGAAAGTGTTGATCTAGCATACGCACAGTCACTGAGGGCTGAAACATTAGTGCCAGCACACGAACCACGTGCCCTTCAAGCTTGATGTTGAACATTGAACAAAACCCTAAACCGCACGAGTCGCTGTTGGGTGCAAATTTAATGAAAGCCTTGAATCTTGTGAAAAACTCCCTAGAGTTTGAAAGCAGTTGTGAGAGTGAGTAAATGGAAACCCTGGGAATATTGAATTCCCTAATCTATGTTTACTGTAACAGTAGGCCTATTCTAACTGTTGAATCACCCGTCGCTCCTTTGAAGTTTGCGTGCACGGAGGTAAACCCTCGTTGCTGTGGATTCCTCTTGCCCCATTCGGTAACTGTTTATCAGGTCACATACACGGTAATTCTTTTATATTAACAGATCATTGTTACATGTATACATGTACACTGAGCACTATATAATATACTCAACCACCATTCCACCAACTATCCTTACCTTGGGCGTTTCCCACCCTAATTTTTGTTGGACCGACAACCCTTTTTAACCTCTGTACGCCTTGTTTACTTCACCCGTCCTTGCCTTTCTCATCAAAGAAAAGGTAACACTGAAAGTGTGTTTTGCAAAAAATGAATTCCACAATCTTTTATCGAATGCATTCTTTCCTTGCCTAGAGATTTCAGACATAGCAAATTACATTGTCAGTATATATATCATGCTTTTCCAAACTCCAAATGAAAAAACATGGCATGTCATGACATATTATCAAGTGCAACATGTGCTTTTATCCTTACATTTTGCTAGACTGATACTTAGGGATCAGCAAAATGATACTGATAAGTAATGAATCATGTTGCTAGCTAAATCAACCAAAAACAATATATCGAGATACAATCAGGACAGCCCTAATTATGCAGGATCTACTATCTTTATCCAAACATTGACCGACACCTCCACAACTCGGATGCCACTAGCCATACAAATAAATAATGAAGCATATATCTTTACAACATTTTTCACTTGCCCCATTTCAAAATTGTGAAGTGCTGTTGCGCGAAGAACATAGATTGATAACAGAATGCATATTGGTAAGGGAACTTATGAAAGTCGGGTGACACTTGTAAAGATATCTTCTGAACAATCTGAATGTGATCTATTCGGGATTACTGTCAGAAGTTACACAAGTTTGGATGCATTGCCTCTTGCTAAGGGAACTTCTGCCAATAAATGAATTAGCTGCAAACTAAAGAGAATTTAGTCAGTTCATGTAATTATGTTAATCACCAGGAAAATAATGACATTTGTTGCCATCTGTTCAGAAAGAATGCTTACCGTTATACAAACAGCATGTATGTTGAGATAATAAAATGTCCCTACGGTGATAGCTACTAAGTTCCTTAAATAGAATCACTTCAGTTTCTGATAACCTCCTTAAGCGAAAGAACGTCATCACGTGGATGAGCTTCTTCCACTTGAACTTCTACTTCATCTCCTACCTGTGCTCCTATGGATACCCATGCAGATGCCTGAAATCCTACCTGCAACATTGAATGGTTGACTCAAAAAGTAATACTAATGCAAGATGATAATCATAGCCCTTCAATTCCAAATATAACATAATAATTAGCATTTTGGAAGAATTGATAGCAAAGTAACTATTAAACATCCTTGCCTCAACTAGTAACAGGGCTGCAACCCTGTCCTTGATGAATCTAAGTATCAAAGCTCGAAATTTTTTCTCTCTTGGCTGCCTTCTGAGAAACTCTATTATCCAATGCCGGAGACTGCTGCCGGAGAGCCTCCTTACTAATCTAACTTGCATATTTACTATTGATGCCATCCCTTCTAGCTGACCAGCTGAAAAAGGAGGAGATTCACCTCTAAGAAATGCCTTCACCTAGATAGAAAATGAAAATGTTACAGGCTTTTTTAAAAAGCATAAGATCAAGTATCTTTTTTGCATCAGAATATGTTGATATCAGTACCATAACAGCTAGACATGTAACACAATGATGATAACAATAACAATAATAAAAAATAATAATAATCTTAAAAAAAAAAAAAAACTAAGAACAAGATTAATGGCAAAACACAACAATAACCATAAAAGTTACTGTGCCCATGGACAGTGTTAGCAACATACACCAAGCATCCCTGATAGAAACATCTATAGTAAAGACTATTTATGTCAATGTGTATCAACAAGAGTAGAGAAAACACCTGATAATGAGCAAGAAGATCCAAATATCTACGGATGGGAGATGTAAACTGAACATAACCAGGAACTCCCAGAACCCCATGACGAATAGGCTTCCGGAAATCAATTTCAGCTGCACGCATTATTCTAACAATGGCAGAGCTTCGAACTGGTCCTTCAGGAAGATGTGAAAATGCAGATACATCAATATTTGACTGAGGCTGTCCTCTATAAGGTAAAGGAAGGTTATTGCAAGAGCCAAAAGTGGCTACAACTTCTCCACAGAGTATCATCATCTCAGAAACAAGTCGCATTGCAGGATCTGCCTGGTTTTCAACATAAAGATTAATTGATGGTACTGGATCCTCTGGGTTAACCACTTTAATGCGTGTTTCTAGAGTTGATGTATCAATTGCACCCTGCAAAATGCATAATGTCAAAGGAGTATTAAGATATAAATGCAGAACAAGCCTGTCTTATAAACATAAAGATAGAACAAGACTAAACACTTGGCAATTCAAATGATAATAATAAAGTACAGTCCAACCTGGTGGCGACGCCATTTTAACCTTAGAGCGGCTGCCTCGGATAGCATCTTCAATTCAGCCTCCTCTTCCAGGTTCAAATGAAGCAGCTCAGTTGCACTCTCATAGGTCAGCATATAAGTTGGTTTAATAATTGAGTTTTGAACTGAATACTCTGCAATGCTTTAGTACCACAGACATGTCAGATGGTCTTCATTAATTAAATAACGTCTAATGAAGCTAAAGAAAATGAAAACAGTCTATCATGTCCAAAATGTAAGCAATCAATGCACATGCGAACATATCAGTGTAAAGGCACAAATATAAAGACCAGAAAAGAAATGAGAATGAGTATTGTTTTCAGTTCCTAAGAAATGCTCTTAAGACAACAATACTTAAGAATAGATTCACTCAAATAATTACAAATACCATCAACCCAATTCAAAGTCCTGCAGAAGCACAAAAAGAACTTATTAGGACATCCAGACTCCTTATAAAGATTAAAATACTTTACCATAAGCCATAACATTTCTGAGTCAGTCTTATGGCCTAAAAAACCTAATATGCCGCTGCACTATCCTCAAATGTAATTCATGTAGAAAATATAGCACATAGCAAAAGCCTTTCTTTTAACAGGAAACACACATGATACGTTCATGCTTTACCTGCCATCAGAGTGCAGGACAACAGATATGCTAACAGCATTGCAAAGTTCTCCTTGTTTCAAACTCATTCCCTCCATGGCAAGTTTCTCAGGAAACATAGGATAAGTGCCAGTGGCCAAGAAAACAGAGGTTCCTCTTCTCAATGCTTCCCTAGACATAATTAAGTATATAAAAATGACAATGGCAAATTGTTATAATCTGCACTCCACCATTTCAAAGATACCTGTCTACCATGCTCCCAGGCTGAACATATCTGGTCGGATCTGCAACATGTATCCAGACTCTAATCCGGCCATCTTGCAACCTTGTTGCACTTAAGGCATCATCAAGCTACAAATAACAAGGAATTAGAGAATAGAAGTTGACAAATAAAAGGAAATAAAATAAAGGTAATAAAACTAGAAGTGTAAATTACCTCATCAGCCTCATCAACATCAATAGCATAAACCTTCAAATCAGTAAGATCCTTTCTGTTCACCTAAACACAAAGAAAACTAAGTTAACACATGATCACGAGGAATTTGGAAAGAATGATATAAAACAAAAATCAAATCAAATTCTTCAATGGTTCACTTTTAACATGTAGAGACTTAGTCAGATAAACTGCAAGAAACATTTCAGATTGGACAGAGAGCTGATTTTGACTTGTAGGTATCTAAGACTGCATGCTTTTCAAATAAAATGAAAATGAAACCTTTCAGTAGAGATGGATGAGGCTAGAAATAACCTCATCAGGGTCATATGACTCCAACAAAAGACTTTCTGCAGCAGCTATAATCTCGTCAGAATGGTTCGTACGGATGTTGAACTTTAACAGATCCAAATTGACATGCACAGGAAAATAACCAATGTTTATGAGGAGGTTTAGTGCTGAGGACACTGATTTTGTAAGTCCCATTGTCTTAAGGATCTGACAAGAATAAAAATATATTAATCAGAGAGTGTGAAATTAACCATGTGATTTATACAAATGATAACACAAAAAAAATATCATTAGATTTTTTTCTCTTCAAACTAAAACCTAGGATTTTAAGGTAGCAAGTTCACTTTGATCAGCTTGTTATTAAAGCCATTCTTAGATCACATTGGAAAGAACTCAGTCGAGTCAGACAAACTACCATTCCTGCAGTTCTCTTTTGTTCATCACTTTTGCAATCATCAATGGCATATGCTTCAAGAGACTCAATTTTGTTTCGGATTTTCTCATCCATCATCCATAAAGATTTGGGAGGTTTAGCATGTGCAGGCTTTGCTTTAGCAGACACAAGTAATTGTACAAAGTCCTGAAGTTCTTTCTCAGCAGCCTCCTTGGCAAGCTTCTTGTGTAAAAGCTCTTCCACCTAGATATGGAAATCAATAAAAGGAATTATAAGGGTACTAAATATCACTCTTCTCACCAGTCTGAATTGCATATAGAAGCTCTTCTACCCCACTTTTTTGTGGGCAAAAAAGGTGCTTCTACCACACTTAATTGACAATTTGACAAAACTATATATTGAATTTACCTGTCTTGTTGGTCGAGGCCCATAAATGGAACAATAACCTTTTGTCTCCTGCACAGCAAAGTATACTTCATCTTTTGACAACAAAAGATGGGCACAGTAGCTCTCAATAGGCTCCGCACTACCAAAAATCATCTGCAGAGTAAACTAGGATCATTAATTAAGCAGACAGGTCCACAATGTCACCAGGAAAATAAACTACCTCTGCTAATTCTTCTGCTGTCACTGACTTGTTCTTTTCAAGAAGCTCAACCCAAGCAATCTCAAGTAATGATGGGTCCTGGACCAAAAAATTTTGTAACAAAATCAACCACACAAGAAAACCACAAAATTTTTCTGTTTATAGTCAATAAAACAAGCTGAACTAACCAAGTTTTCCTCAGCATTTTGGAGAAATTTTGAGATATCTGTCTGATCAAAATTTTCTACACCTGGAACAATATATGTAATTTGTTGCGGTTTGATGGATGATGTGACACCATTCTGTATTACAAGAAAAACAAAAAGTAACATCAGCTCAAAAATCTGAAAATGCTAAACATCCATGTAAGAAAACATAAGTGCTAACACCTAGCAACCTATTCAACATGCCGCATGAGTTGTTTCTACTAGAACCTGATCGTACACCATCCAATTCTTCTTGCCATCAGGTCTCTGAGCAACTCCCAGCAATATCCTATCCGAATCCTTCTTAAACTCCAGCAGCAATCCCTTTTCCAATTCTCGGTTTACAAGCTTATCTTCAAGAAGCTCACCAGTACTCGTTATCCTCACCCTGATGAGAAAATTATTTACCATATTCAAGCTTCAGCAATAACTCTAAATCCAACAAGTGAGTCATATTCAAATTCTATCTTGATTAAATAACAGAAAAGATGTTAAGAATCCGTTAAACCATTGAAGAAACAAAAAAACATGCAATTTACCACTAAATCGTTGCATTTCTTTAATTTCAACCAGAAGTAACTAATATTAGCTCAAGTCTCAAGCATATTAAGTTTCGTAAACAATTACGATTAACAATACCAATATACATCGAATCTGTTTGGCCGCTATTTTAACTTCTGCTTTGAGCAAGAAGTGCAAATGGAGTAGTAATTTTTTAATAATTAAAAGTAGAAATTTAAATATCGTGAAAAACAAAATGCATGATTTTACATTTTTGTATGAAAAAGATTATATTTAATATGTATTACGTTTTGATTACTTATTCAATTTTAATCAAATATAATTTTGCACGAATAAAAAGCAAATAAGAAACGAAATTCAAAAGAGTCTTTGGTGAACATTACTTGACATTGGCGCGAACTCTTCTGCGTTGGCGCGAAGCCGCTAGCTCTTCCATGACGCAATCGACGAGACTATAAGCCGAACACGAACGACCGACGCCATATCCTAGAAACTGATTCTCGCAACAGAAAATAGGAAACCGAAGCCCTAATTCGGAGTTTCGGCGCAATGGTAAGGAGCTGAAGTGGCGGAAACCGCACCAGAACGCCAGGAGAGGAGGTGATGCGGCGGAACGAAACAAAGAACCGCCGTTGACGGCGCGAACCGCCATCATATGTTTGGCTTTTGCTTTAGTGAAGGAGAAATTTATGGTTCATGCGGTGAAATGAGGATTTTCCTTTCCCTTTTATGTCCGTGAGAGACGAAAAGTGAGCTTGGTTTTGCTTTGTTCACTGTTGCTTTTGGCGATAAAGCCGTGTGGCGATCCGGATGACATTTTGTACCCATAATGACCCGGACCCATATGGGCCGGGTCACCGGCTTTACCCGTGGCTAAAAACGCTGAGCCCAAGTACACTATGGGCTCTACGGTCCCTTTGAAGAATTGGGGCTGCCAAGTAAAAAATTATAACGTTTTGAATATGCTTACATCCGTATTTATCATTTAACCAAATGTTTGAATATTTAGATATTAAATTTTTCGAACATGTAAGATTTAATAGTCTTTTTGGTAGTAACATTAGCTAATCGTCAATGATTAAAAAATTGTAAGTTGAAAATTTAGATTATCGTAGCTTGAGATAATACTATATAAAATATGTTACTAAACTCTTGGTGAATTATGATTAATTTTAAGTGAGGTTATCTCTCCATCTCATCTGGATTAGGGTAACTTTCACACTGACACCGGCTTAATAGAATAACTTGTATTTTCATGAATATTATTTAGATTTTCTTTGATTGATATTTTTTGTTATTTGTTATTATTTATTATTATTTTTTATGAAAAAAATAAATAACAAAAATATCAATAAAATGATAAAATGCATGCTGAAGTTACCTCACTCACTTCTTAATTATAGTAACTGATAGCAAATCAATCAAATCAATCATTAGTACCACCCTGAAGGTCGATTTACAGAACAATGCATCATGGGAAGATAAAATGTATTACTATAAACATATAAAAGGAATGGCTCTGAAACAAGTTCGCACTGATAGAGTTTTGTACATTAAATGATGATCCATGCCAAGTTCCATTTATTGCCATTATAAATCAGCTGCACTGCTGAGAACATAGACTCTGGATCTGAGAACTGCTTGCGCTTGGCAGAAAGTACGTGGTGGTCTTTCCGCTAGTGGAGCACGTTACATTTACCTGGCTGCCTAGTTGGGTGGACTGCAATAATAGTACAGTTGCACACATTAAATTCATAAATACAATACCAGTGTGTAAACATTATGGCAATCAGAAACTGATTTCCACCAGAAGTAAAACAATGCTTGCATTAGTCTGAAGATTATGTTGTGCTCTTCTTTGTACCAAATCTAATGCAATATTGCACAGGGAATGAGGGAGTCACCGATTGACATGTTTTAAAGCATGAAGAGAGAGCAAGGGAAAATGAGAACAAGGGTTGGTTTCAGTTACCGAGCAGTACGCAGGCTCTGTATTGCAGCTCCATCTTGAAGTAGGGACACAAGACAAGTAATGACACCAAGAACAATGATCATTTGCATCAACTCCGCGGAGGAGCATAACCAGGCCAAGAGTCAAACTGCAAAAGTAGCATCGGTTTAAGTGAAAACAGAAGTCAAAATTCACCATGTTAGTTATGTACAAACAGAAGCATCATGTCCAGAAATAAAATGAAAAGAAGGAAACTTGAAGTCCTGAACATGATATATAGAAAAGCAAGTCTATAGGCATGGTAGTAGCAAACAACATAGTTCATCATGTTACAATTCAATAAAATTGTTATCATGTTTTTAAGTTCCTCCATTTTTGCTTTTCTCTCTTTTCCAACATTTTTCAACTGCAATTTAGTAAGAAAGACAGATCATCGAAAAAACAAAATGGTTTATCTGCTTACCCCACAATTAAAAGAATCAAAGAAACGATCCACAAAACGCACTGATACGTCTTGAATTTAGGTTTAGCAGAGCTTGAATATCCAGGAGGGGCATATCTTTGACTAACCCATCCAAATTGGGGGCGGACGAGGAAGACAAAACCAAGAAGGAAACCGGTGAGAAATCCTCCAATATGGGCAAAGTTGTCAACATGTGGTAGGATTCCTACTGCTAAATTGATGGCAATGATAACCAGGAGGGTCACAAATGCTGCCACCTGCAAAAGCACACAAAATTGAAGGCATTTCAGCCCAATAACAAGTATAACTTACCAGAGTCTCAATATTGGATGTCTGTAATTCAATTAATGATTGAGTAATGAAGTACCTTATTAGCATAGATTGTCCAATTAGTAATGAGTTCAGAAAGCATGGCTCCAAGTAACCCAAAAAGTGCACCAGAGGCACCAACAGAGATATTTGACTGGATGAAAAGAGCAGACAGCAAACTCCCACCAAATCCAGAGATTATATAAAGCAGTCCAACCCGTACTGCAACGGAATCACACAAGAATCAAGCAGGGGTTTATGCTAAATTAGTAAACATATCATAATTCAGCAGACAAGATAATTAAATAGTCTTTCCCAATTAACAAACGGTATAACAAAAACTTTTCTGTAAATCAATGGTCTCAACAAAAAACCATAACCTGAATGCTACTGCATTATGCTTATGTATCAAACACAACATGCAGAAAATGCTTAACTTTGATGCCATTCGTGCCCTTCAGCAAAAAGTTTGCTTGAATTTGAAGCCTATGACGGATGCGACATAAACTAAAGAAGAATTTGAAACAAAGTGATCTAATGAGGGATTAAAATCCTTTGAACGACTATCAAAGAGACTAAAGGATATGTTTGGTACAAATACAGTTTTGGATTGATTAGATTGCCTTCAATACTGATGTGGACAACTAGAGAATAAAACTCATAGAGAAACGGGAATAAAAGGAGTCAAAGACAAGGCAGGTGTGGCTTTATATAGCAATTCATAAGGGGGTCTGGTCCATAGCACAGACATGCATAAATTGATCTAAGAAAATAGCTACAAAACATAAACAATTTCATAAAAACAGCAGTATAATATGGAAGTTCAGAGGATTCTACAAACTTGCAAACTCTATTCATCAATATCAAGGGAAAAATTTCAGAGCTAATCCCTACTCGTTATTCCATTATAAAGAGCATGAACCATGGATTAAAGCACATACTGAATCCAAATTCTCTCTCAAGCCGGATTCCGATAACTAAAAGACTCAACATGTTTGCCAGCAAATGAAAAACCCCTCCATGTAACCAATTGCAAGTGATGAGACGCCATCCCTGGTGTCCATCAACCACTTTCTTTACATCTAGAGCCCCCATCTTCTGCAGCCTAAAACCAACAAACATATTTTCACCACATTAATATAAATATATATATACACACACACACAAACATACAATTACTCAAGCAAAAATATATCAATTGAAACAAAGAAAGAAAGAAAATAGCAAAGAAATGAGTGACTTACGTGAAGGAAGAAGGACCCAGAAGAGGATTCTCCTTAAATGGTTGAAAGGAGAACCGGCCTAAGAAATCTGCAATGCAAGAAACAGAATTCTTGGGACAATTATTCACGTACATGGTGATGATGAGCATGACAGTGTTGGCAACCACGAAAGCAGGAATCAACCAAGGTACCCATTTCTTGAAATGCTTGATTTCTCTGTAAACGATCGGACTTGGAGTCCTAACAGGTGGCGTTTCTACATCAACTGGGTGTATCAAGTTGCTGGTCCTCCTTGAATTGGCCCTGGTTTGGATCTGCGGTGAAGGGTCCGTAGCCATGGGAGCTGAAAACTTGAGAAAGATTGGTCAAATCCGCTTCAGCTTTTAACATTCAGACAAAGTGGTTCAGCTACATTAGTCAAAAGAAAAAACGTGACAGAATCAGAACGCCAAAGGATTTGGGCAGTTCGTCAACGACCACCAAATTTGGCTGCTCGGATTGAACAGAACTCAGACACCTTCCAAATACACGAAGAATATGTCATGAAATATGTAATTAATTAATTTTTTTAATAAGTATTCAATGAAAAACATCGCGGCAAGTCTAACTGTACACCTACTCCAATATTAAACAGAAATAAATATTGTGAGTGAATAAAAAAATTTATTTAGTGGAGTAATTAAGAAGGATAAATTAAAGTCCTCAGACAAATAAAAAATTGGAAGTGGATTTATTAAAAGGTTCATTATCTTGAACAAGTTGTCAAATTCATGCGGAGTCAAAAAGGCATGGGTGATGTATTGATTGAGTGCTATAATGCACCACCACTAATTATTAAAACAATTATTAAGGTAAAGATCCCATTAATTAACATTTATAGAGATCTGTTAAGGTGATATATTAATGGATAATTTCGATTTACACTTTTGGTGGTTTTAATTTTTTTTTTCATATCCAATTTTTTTTGTTTCAATTAATATCATAGAGAGATTAAGTTATTAATTTTACCCAATATACCTGAATAAATAAATTGAATTGAATTGAAGGCATTTTCATAATTCTATTGAGAAAAAATAATAGCATAACTTTTGTACAAAAGTTATCCACACCTAAAAACAATGATATAATATTTAAAAGAATTTCAAATTATATAAGTTTTTATATTTTTATTACCTTCAATTAAGACTTTGAATTTTTATTTTAAATCAAACAAATTTTTATATTTTTATTTTGAGTCAAATAAACTCTTAAACTTTATAATTAATGATTAACTTAATTAAAATCTATTTATAATTTTATACCGCTTGATGTTGACATAATATACTAACATATCATAATTGATAATGATGTGGTATGCTTATATATTATAATTGATGATTATATAATATGTTAATTTAGCACGATGACATGATCATGTAACATTTTTTATCCTTTAACTAGTAATGATAATTAACATTTTAATTAATAATAATTAATTAATCATTAATTATTAGAAGTTTATTTAGTTTAAAATAAAAATATAAAAACTTAATTGAATGTAATAAAAGAATAATAATTTATTTAAATTTTTAAAAATAATTAATTTTTTTTAATATTATATCAAAAATTTTAAATCACTAAAACTTTATAAAATATAAATACACTCTATCGTTATAGTTGCAGTGTATTAATCTTACTCGAAGGAAAATTTTTCGATTTATCAATTCGATACGTAATTCTAAATATGATTTTATTTAAAAGAAATTTAACAAGCTTTATACACTTAAATTTCGTATTAAGTAATTTTCCTATATGTATAATACTATCATAATATACTACCATTTGTGCCAGGTTCAACTAGGCAGCCGGCATGTGAAGAATCAAAGGGTTGGATGCTAAAAAGAAGCAATCTTCTCAAGTATTTTAGCGTCGCTTTCCGGCCAAATTCATCCTCCAATATACGTTTCATTGAGGTATTTGGGGGGGGTTGAATCTTTCAAGGATTACGTTTTCTTTACAAGTCAAGACGGCAATTTGTTTACGCAAACATTTCTTGCCAACGGAAACTGATCGTCTTTAAGCAATCGGTTATGGCCATCGGCCTAAGTACACAAGTGGAGAAAGACAGGCTCCGTTGGGCCAAGTGTTTTTCATTCTTGTGAGATGGAGAACCAGCTATACGGATGAGACAAAAGAAATGAACACGGGCCGCTACCAGTCCTGGAGAGGAAAGGATTCAATGGCCTCAGACAAAGGAAAGTGCAACTAGGCATAGGCAGTCGACTGAAAATCATTTCCTTTTTTGGTGTTAACTTAAAGACTACGGATGGTGACATATAAAGGACTTGTACTCGAATCTAATTATAATATTTAAGTTAAATACTTAAATTAAGATTAATATTTTGAGTTTTTTTAATTAAAAATTAAATATTTTAATTATAATAATTAAAAAATTAAATATTTTTTATTTTTTATAATTAAGGGTTAAGTTGATAGGTAAATGAAGTATATATCACACATGACAAAAAATTATGTTGAAAATATAATTATTACACGTTAAATTAAAAAATATAATTATATGTCATGTTGAAGATTTAATTGTTATACGTTATGTTAAAAATTTAATTATTACACATCATAATAAAAAATTAATTGTTATATGTTATGATGAAGGTTTAGTTATTAAATGTCATGTTGAAAATTTTAATTGTTATACATCATAATGAAAAAGTTGTTAGATGCTATGCTATAATTGAATCATTTTAATTTGTCAAAAAATACTTTTTTGACAAAATTGCTTTTCTATATATTACCTTTTCAAGTCAATGTTTACATCACGCATGTGTCTTGCACACGTAAGACATATCTCTTCTTAATCCTTAAAGAACAAAAAATGTTTAACTCTTAATTGTTACAATTGAGACGTTTAATCATAAATTGACAAAAATCTAAAACTTTTGATCAAAATTAAACATTTAGTATAATATTTAATATTTATAATGTATCCAAACTCTGATTAATAACATCACAATTAAAACTTAAATTTATTTATTTAATTAAACATAATATTGATAAACGATATAAATTTGATTTGATTCGAAATCAATAATAAAAATAAGATTAATCATATTTATTTATTTATTTTAGTTAAAATTAAATTAATAAATTTAAAGTAAAATTTATATGTAGATAATTTATCAATTATAAATAATACATCTATTAAAAATAATATAAAATAAAAAGAGATGTTAAAATGTTCATCATCTTTAATTAAGTTTATGTGATAGATATCTTAAAATTATTACTCGTACTCTATCCAAATACGTTTATAAAATATTTATAATCTTATTTAAAGAAAACTTATTTACTTATTGCCATTAATGACATTGTGATAAAAATGGAAATATAAGATAGTAAAAGCAAGCCCACTCTAGGCTTGCCTTTAAACTCCACAAGCCCATAGAACAGAAAAAAACCCAGTTTTTTTTTGCCTAATAAGAAAGCCCATAGGCTCAAAGTTTGGTGTCATATTCGGAAGTCCAAGCCCAAGCCTATGATCTATTTATATTTCTTTTTTTATTAAAATATTTACATTAAAAAATTATATGTATTAAAATTATACACTATCAATTAATCAAAATTTGACACCTTATTAATGACTAAAATTACAACAGATTATCAAATAATTTTTACAGTAAAAAATTCAATAATAATTTTATTTCCAAACCAAAAATTCAATATTTAATTTTTCTGTGTTGAAAATTGTTTAGTTAATCAAACAAAATTAATTAAAAAAACAACTGCTTTAGATAAAAAAAAAATTACGTAGCTTAAATTTACAGCAAACTAAATTATGATGTAAGTAACACATTTCTATCAAAGTCCTTTATGATTAAATTTCAACTGAGATAACCTCATAATTATACCATTAGAATTATCAATAATTTATGGATGATGAACGTAATTAGAGATATTCAACTAGGGTTAAAAGTTTTAGATTGTAGCTTTGTCATGTCACGGACATCATAAGAAATTTAATTTTATGTCATCAACTTTTATTTTGATTAAGCAATATGTTACCTTAAATTTTATGTATGCAAAAAGTGACAGTTGTCATTAAAAATAATATATTATATTTGTTTATAAAATAATGATTTAATTTAATAAAATAAAAAATAAAAATTTCAATTAAGTATAATTAAAAAAATTAAATACAAGAATTCCATTACAAAAACGCATATATTTCAAAATTTTGTTATTATTTAAGTTGTTGATGAATTATCAATAATTCAAAGCTGATGACATAATTAAAGATAATTCAACAATCCTTAGACTTTTATAATTATAACCGTGAAAGGTCCAAGCTCTAGAAAAAGAGTCTTCGCCGTCGCTGGCAATAATCAAAGTGGAAAACTCCAAAGCTACTTTTGTTCATTTCATTTTCTTAACGCGGGCGAAGGGGAAGGAAAGAGCCATGTGAGTGGACACGGACTAGCCACAGGACGCCATTAGGCTCTCCGGATAAGGAACAGTGGTTCGTCCCAGTTGCACTCGGGGCCTAACCTTCTTGGAAAGCCCGCCTCACTCGCTCTCCAATCAACACGTGGCGAGACACACGAGAGAAAAAATCCTCCAATTTTGACTTCAAAACAAAGAAGCGCCAACCAGCATAGGTGCTCGTCTTCGCTGTGTCCTATCATTAAAAAAATATATTACAAATATTCCCATTACTCTGTCATAAACAAAACTTAAACATTAAAAATTCCTCTCTTTTATTAGAACCTCTTCTTCTCTTCCGAGTTTCGCTTCAAACAAAAGACGAGCTTCGACTTTTTTTTTTGTTCTTCAAAAGTAATTTACAGAGATGGCGCCGAATGATCCGAAACAAAGCGGTGGTTTCTTTGCTTCGATCGCGAACAGTTTGTCTAATTTTGGTAGCGCCATGACTAAATCAGTCAACGGGTATTAAGATCTATCCTCTAATTTTTTTATCCTTTAATTTATTATTTTCGTCTAATTTCCCTTTTCTCGGATCTATGTTTTTATTTTTTTGAAATGAAAGTTGATTGCTTCGATCTCGACGCGGATATTCCTTTCGGTTCATTTCTGAATTTATTGTTTTGATTACAGATTGCACGATAATTATGGCTTAGAAGGGAATCGATGTATCAGATCTATGATTTTGTTAAAACTGACTAGAGGATTTAGTTGGAATGAACTAAATTGAATGTGTTAAAACAAGGTTTTAATTCAATTGAGAATTCTCGGTGTTTTCTTTTTTCTTTTTTATTATATATACAGTTTATTGGGATATGAAGGGCTGGAAGTTGTTAATCCAGAAGGCGGGACAGAAGATGCCGAACAGGAAGCAAGGAGAGGAAGGTGGAAACAGGAGGTAATGCTTAATTGTCTGCGTTTTTTGTATGATTTGAAGAAAATAATGAACAAAAACCGTTACCTCAGTCATTAGTCCTGTCTTATGCATTTGTAGCATGGTGTTCCCGATTGATCAATGCAGTGCTAGTAATGTCATTTAAATCTTAAGTAGGTGTAATTACTGTTATCACTTGGCAGGGTTATATAGAAGTAACATTGATCTTTACATTCCTACAGATGTAAAATAAAATGTAGGCTAACAGGGTTGAACTGATCGTATTGGAACATATGAAACATTTTTTATCTGTAGGTAATGGAAATAAGACCTTGGGCATGGGCTACTTGCTCTGTTTATATGTTACTTAGAACTTGAATGTTTCTCAGGATGCGACACTAAGGAAAAGAAGCTGAGTTTGTCTGCCGGCTACTAATAGGCTAGCATACTTAGCATTTAGTGTAGAAATGAATATCTCGCCTTGCGAATGCTGAAGTTTTCTTTCACATACTACATGATAAGATTTTCTATGCAAGACCATTTTATCTGGTTTCAAATGATAAGATTAGCGTTATATTAATTTGTATGTGCATGTGTGCACCACTTTCTCTTGTTTAACAGGAGAGGGACAGTTACTGGAAAATGATGCAAAAGTATATAGGATCTGATGTCACATCAATGGTGACACTTCCAGTTCTTATCTTTGAGCCAATGTCAATGTTGCAGAAAATGGCTGAGGTTTGTGTTTTCATATCCAACTTCATTGCTGTAAAGATATTGCTGTATTTGGTTCTTTTTTGTTTGTGGGAATTTATCGATCTCATTGTCTGTGACAGTTGATGGAATACTCCTACCTGCTAGATCTGGCTGATGAATGTGAGGATCCTTACATGCGAATGGTGTACACCAGTAAGTATTCTTTGAACTTCTCTTTTTCTCTCTCTCTCTTTGTGTGTTTGATAAGATGGACTCATCATAGCTAATTGCAGCATCATGGGCTATATCTGTCTACTATGGCTACAAACGTACCTGGAAACCATTTAATCCCATACTTGGTGAAACTTATGAAATGGTTAATCATGGCGGCATTACTTTTATAGCTGAGCAGGTGGGTATTTTTGACCTAAGTCGTGGTTTATTTTTCCTTGCACTTTGATGCTATGGGTTATTGTTTCTGACATTGTTTTTGTATAATATTTCTAAATGGCTGCTATTTTAAAAGCCTTATTTGACATTTTGTCCCTTTCAGGTTAGTCATCACCCCCCAATTAGCGCTGGTCATGCTGAAAATGAGCATTTTATTTATGATATATCTTCAAAAGTTAAAACCAAATTTTTGGGAAACTCAATTGATATCTATCCGCTTGGAAGGTACAATGTCCTCTCTTTCGTAACTAATGTCATAACAAGAGGCTTATTATTCTTTTTTTTTCTTTCAATTTCACCGTCATCTACATCATTAGCATCTTTTATAAGCTAGTAGAACTGGAATTAATCTCCAGATTTTGTCAAAATTTATAATAATTTCTCATTTTGGTTATGCAAACTTTTCTTCTTGCAGTTTTATTTGTTTTTGCTGGAGAATTTTCTACTTGTAGTTGTTAATATGGTTTAATAAATAAAGCAGGGTTTTTTAATGTGTGAGTTCTTGTGGTTTAGCATCTCTTGATTTATCTGTGTCCTTCAATTCAGCAACACTGTAATGGGGAAGTCAGAATTTGTTATATGCATTCTGATGCTGTCAGAGATATAACTTTGATTTTTATGTTTTCCCACCCAATCTTCTTTGGGATCATCCATCTCATTGGGTGCATCTCATCTGATCAAATTGGAACTGGTTTGGATTATCCTTTCAGAGCATTTCATATCAGTGAAAGTCACAAATGAGCATGTTTTTAAAGTTTGCAGATTGTACCCTTGCATAGATTCTGAAATAATTTTTTGTGCAGGACCCGTGTGACCCTCAAGAGAGATGGTGTAGTTCTTGATTTGGTGCCTCCTCCCACAAAAGTTAACAACTTAATTTTTGGACGAACTTGGGCTGACTCACCAGGGGAGATGGTCATGACAAACCTGACAACGGGGGACAAAGCTGTACTGTATTTTCAACCATGCGGTTGGTTTGGGTATGGTTTTATTCTGAGAATGTGCTTTTGATTTTCTTTGGCGTAATCTGTAAGCATTAGCTGCCAGGCATTGTCCTCTTTCTGTCCTTTGAAGATAAAAAGAAATAAGAAAAAGGCTCATCAAGGCTATGAAAGATTTTCACTTGATAAGTTTTAATATTAGCAGTTTGCTATTAGTTTCATCTGTCAATTTGTACCATATGTTAACGAAGCATAATTTAACTTTGGATCTTGGTTGTTCACAGGGCTGGTCGGTATGAGATTGATGGATATGTATATAATGCCACTGAGGAGCCAAAGATATTGATGACTGGGAAATGGAATGAGTCCATGAGTTATCAACCTTGCGACAGTGAAGGGGAACCACTTCCGGGCACTGAACTAAAGGAGGTTAGTTCTTTTAATTCGTTAGTTGTTTGCATCTTTTATTCGTCCATAAACACTCCCCTAGTTTTCTTGATGCTTGAACTCTGGAATTTACTTTCCCATCAAACCTCTAGCAGAACAATGCCGAATTATGTTTTTTTACATGCGACTCTTGACCAGAAAGCAGATTATTCATGATGAGCCTTTCCTCAAGTGACTAAATTTAATTTTCGAAACAAATTTGCCTTCCAATGATGAAAAACAAACTTTTTCCTCTTGCTGCGTGAGAGTATCACACCTTTCCAAGAGCTTTCCATGTACCAAATAAAAGGTGCTACTTCTAACAATGAACAACCGAAACCTGGTGTAAATTAACTGCTACACATGGTGAATATTGAAGTTTTCTGGGTTTCTTACAACAGTTTCTTGATTAACATGATTAATCTTTTGATTAAAAGTTTGAAGCAGTCAAGGACTAATATGCTTGGCTGTGCTAGTAAATTTTTTGACGTTTCCAAACAAACTAAAAAAGCTATATCCCTGATACCGAACTGCTTGTAATCACTCTGTTGTTGCTGTTACACAGGCATGGAAAGTTGCTGATGCTCCGAAGAACGATAAATTCCAGTACACATATTTTGCGCATAAGATTAACAGCTTTGATACAGCTCCCCAGAAGCTATTAGCGTCTGATTCTCGTTTACGTCCTGATAGGTATGCCCTAGAGCAGGGCGATCTCACTAAAGCTGGTATTGAAAAGAGCAGGTCTGTCTGTCTGTCTCTCTCTCAAATTAGATTTTGAATTTTATATTTACCTTTGTGCACTTATCATTATTTAGTGGTACTTGTCTATTTCATTCTCGTTTCTGTCTTAACGATTATCCCAACTCTCTTTGTTGTTCAGTATGGAGGAAAGACAGAGAGCCGAGAAGAAAAACAGAGAGGAAAAGGGCCATAAGTTCACTCCCAAATGGTTCGATTTCACCGACGAAGTCGCAACCACCCCATGGGGTGACGTGGAAGTGTACCAGTACAACGGCAAGTACGCCCAACACCGGGCCGCCATAGGTAGCTCAAGCAGCGGTGAAGCGATTGACGTTAGGTCGACTGAGTTCAACCCGTGGCAGTACGAAGATTTGGCTGCCAACTAAAAGCCTATCTTGCGAGAATTGCTTCGCCTGTATAATATATTCTTTCTATTTCTTTTACACTTGGTTTTGTATTGGCTAGTGTCTAGAACAATTAAATATGGTTTTTCGTTTCTGTTTTATTCACAATTTCCCCAGAATGTTGTTGTTGTTCTTATTTTATTCTGTTGATCCATTTTATAGTATTTTGTTGAGTTTGGTTCCATTAAGCAAAACTGTGTGCCATAAAAGAAAGAGGAAAACAAACAGAAAAGCTGGAATCAGTGATCTTTAACATTTCAAATTTTCAATTATCCAGAGTTACTGAAAAAAGCAATAAGCGAAAATTCATGTGAATGAGATAAGATACACCAAAATGGTTGGACGGCTTTCCACGTGTCAGCAACAGAACTGACAGAGACAGGAGTGGATCAACCAAAACGAAGGAACAGGTCCAAGTTTTTTATGTTTTTTGCTTCGAACTAGAGTGAACAGCAAACTCATGGATTCTCCTCACCGGTTATTCCAGTTAAGAGCCCAGAAATAAAACAAGTACGAGCAGTTCTTCTTGTGGGTTTAACCCAAAAAAAAAAAAGTTGGTAGGTTTGTGTGGTTTCCACTTTTCACTGGGGTTTATGTTGATTAGAGACCAAAACTCATAAAACCCATCTATGAAAGGTTAGTCTTTTTTTTTTTTTTTAATATTTTGACATTATTTTTTTGATTTATTATTCTTTACTACTATCATTGTTCTTGGATGTGGAACGTGCCAGGGTTTTTTTTTTTTTTGCCCTTTTTGTTTTGGTTTAATCGTTTTCATCTTTTTAATTTGGAAAAAATAAGGAATTTTTGTCCCTCATTTCTCTGGTTCAGATTTCTGAAATTGCTGGAATTGGAGAAACATGTTTTAGGGTGTGAATTGCATTTTCCTCTACCCTTCTTAAATGTTAAGTGTCCTTGTGTCTGACTTTTGTTCTTTTCTTGGAGGGGTGTTGAATTGTTGAAACAGTGGTGTTCAGGTTTATGGCTTGTAAATCATTTTGTCCATTTCCTGGCCATTTGGTAGATTGCTTGCATTATACTTGTATAACATCAAGAAATCATAGTCTTTTTTCTCATGAGTTTACTTTATCAATAGGTTTTGGAATTACTGGAGTTTAAACTTTGTTTGTTCCATATCCATTGCTACATATAGACTGGAGATCAGTGGATCTAAATAAGTTTAAGCATTGCCTCATTCATAGTTAAAGGAGATGCCATTGCTTGTTTTTGACATGCCTCTGTTTCTGTCTTTTCTTGTTTGACAAAATCTCTTGTTGAACTTGATGAAGTTCCACTTTTTGAATCTAACATTGTAACTTAACTCTAAATCCAAGTTTTTTTTCCTTTTCAGGTGGATTTTATATTAATATACGAATTAGTTAATGACTTATCACTGCTGCATATTATGCCTGAATCCACTTTATTCCCAACTATGTTACGCAAATGGTGAACTAGTTTTCTCAAGTCAGGAAGTGGGCATAGGGGGTTTTAGTTTTCATATCCTTGAATCTTTCTGATTGTTGAATACGTTTGTTTGCTGCAGTGTCTATGTTGTTCAAGCCTGTCAGTTAATTTTGCTTAATGAATTCACTTTTCAATGAATGCCTAAGACATGGTGTCGGAGACGAGATTGGACTATGGTTTCAGTGGCTACAAGGTGCCTGTGTTTCCTCAAGCTTCTAGATCAGCAAGGGTAAAGAAATGCTACCATTTTGGGATTCTTATTTATTTGTGTTAAAAATAGTGTTCTGATTTGTCATTGTTTACTGCTGGTTTTAGGGTAGGGTGCCAATTAGGAAGAAGGGTGGGAACAGTCAGAAACATGCATTTGAAATTTTGGCTAGTGTAGCTGGTGAACTCTTGCAGGAAAGTAAAATTTTTGTGCCTCCTAATTGTAAAGAGGATCAGCAAAATACTCCTAAAAATATTGTTTTGAAGGAACGGGATGAGGGGCAATTGTCAAAGTGCAACCATTCTGTTCAGGAAACTCATGATGAGAAAACCTTTATTCAAGGTTACCATCAAATCTATACATTGAATAAGTTTTCACATTCCCAGGATCGGTTTAATTTGAAAGCATGTTCAAGTATAAAGAGCTTTGATCAGTCAGAGAAGTTATGTTTGGCTGATCAGTTAGCCAATGTCAATGATAGAAATGGAAGCCCTTCTGCTAAAATAGGTATTTCTTCTCTTGTATCTGGGGAATTTTCTGAAGGGCAATTCGAGGATGCAGGAGCTGAGCTTTCAAGTATTCAAAGTGTTAAAAGTGCAACTCTTCCAGTTACAGGCAGTTTTGATATGTTGGAAATGGACTGTAAACCTCATGCTTTATTCTGTTCAGAAAGCAAGTTAAAGGCATCATTGTTCGAGGACTGGATAACTCTTGGTCCTTCTAGGCATGCTGATAATATAGAGACAGTTACTAGAGATGATGACGATAATGACACTGGGTGCACTCAAGCTGCCACTACAGCGAAGGCCTTTAGGCTGCCATCAGATGTGGCAGATCAAAGAATTAAGAACCTGTCTGCAGGCAGACATTGGAGAGTATCTCCAAATTTGAATGGTGGGGCTTCCTTTAAAAATGGTATATGCCCATTCTGTGGTTTAATTAATACTGGATTGTGCCCTTGTAGTATGAATGCACTTGTAATGTCATGATACGGTCTATTGAATTCCCTGAAGTTTGCAACTAATAATAAGTTCTTGCGCTTGTTACTGGATATGGTAGGCTTTCGTTTCTGTATTTGTTCTTTTAGCATCATGAATCCACCTAATTGATTAAATGACATTTTCCAATTTATCATATTTCTAGATGGGAAAAGAAGATCATTTTTTCATAATGGGAGAACTAGTTATACTCGTCAAAGATCCCAGAGGATCTCTCCTTTCAACAGAAGGAAGTTGTTTAATCAATTCCCATTCTCTGTGCCTGATCGAGGGTTTCAGTTTGAAGACAAATTTAATTCTGCTGACAAGAGAAGCAATTGTGACAACTGTACAGCAGGTGGAATAAAACATTGCTGCCAGCTTTCAATTTTCTTTATTTTGTGGTGTTAGGATATAGGGATCTATTCGGTTTTGGCTGAATAATCCAAGCTCTTACATGCAGCTGTTGGAGTGGCTTCCTCAGTTGCAAGACGACATCTGCTAACTGGACCCAGAGGCCGTAATGGTATAAAGGCCTTTGACGTAATGTTTTAGTACATAAACTGATGGCTGTATGATCCAGGCATGCTCTAACTTTTCTTCCTTTCTTGTTTTTGGTTTATTCAGTGAAGCTCCGTATCAAATCCTTCAAGGTTCCAGAGCTCTTTGTTGAGATTCCTACAAGTGCTACTGTTGGTTCACTGAAAGTATGCAGCACTGCCTTCTTTGCTGTTGTTTCATAGCATGCTTCCCTTCTATTTTTCTTTCTAACTTTTAATGGAAAAAGTTTTATCCCATGGAGTTAAAAATATGAGTGAATTTATTTTATGAACTATAATTCTTTGCATCTTCTTAGGATGGGAGCATAAGATCATAATCATATTCATGTTATTTGATAAGATGCTTGTTCTTATCAGACAAATGGTTCTCTCGTCTCTTTGATATTTTAAGCAATAACATATGGCCTTATCAGAGATAAGGGGGCCACCTTTTGTTTATCTTCATGGGTAAGAGGTCAAGCAAACTGGTTCCATGTTTGCACATTGCTGATAATTAACATCTAATGGTTTTTGTAGAGGACAGTCATGGAGGCACTAACTACTGTACTGGGAGATGGCTTGCACGTTGGTATATTTCTTCAAGGCAAGAAGGTTAGAGATGACAGCAAAACTCTATTTCAAACTGGTATTTCTCAAGATCACAAGCATCGTAATTTGGGATTTGCGTTGGAGTCCAGACATGCACAAATTATACCACCTCCATGCCCAGGAGAGCAGGGGCTAACAAGGTAAGTGTTTGGTGTATGTAAGCTTAAAGAAGGATGACCTTTTGCTTGTCCCCAATCTTCACCCCTTCTCTTTCCTTTTGTCATTTTGTCTTCACTTCTTTGGCTCATCTTCTCTCTCTCTTTCCTAGACTTTTAATAAGTAAATTATTCCTGTCATCTTTTAATTGTGTTATTATGTTCTATAACCAGGCATGCAACATCTTTGACTCCAGAACCTGGGACTTCTAGTGTCTCTCTTGTTCCTCCTTTGACAAATTGGAACAGTGGGGCTGAAAGCGACCTTCACTTAGTTTCCTCTCTTTCCAACATATCAGCTGATAGCACTATTCCAAATTCCCAATCTCTGGTGTCAATCCCGGCAATTAGGGTGGAGACATTGGCTGTGGTTCCCTTTCATCATAGACCTGGGTGTCATGAATTTGTCCAGCGTCGCATTAGAAGACTGTTTTCTGTTGCGGAAGTAGAAGCATTGGTTCAGGCAGTTGAGAAACTAGGAACTGGAAGGTTACTTTTAGGATTATCATTTGTTGATGAATATTTGATTGCAGGCTTGCTCTGCTCCGGATCCTTAGCTTCTTTCAAATTTTGTAGGTGGCGTGATGTCAAATTGGGTGCTTTTGACAATGCAAAACATCGTACATATGTGGATTTGAAGGTGAATAATCCATTTTAGTTTGTGCTTCTGTTTGGAATTTTATGCTTGTCGTGATGTGTACTAAATTGTATGACTGCCCCCATGATGCTTGTCATGATGGTTCAATTGACTGACATCTAACCTTCATTGCCATTTTATTATGCTGTCCATAGTGCTTATTTTGCACTTTCTCTGCTTACTACACCATATGCTAGGCTCTCTTTTGAGGTGAAGTCTTGGAACACATGGGAATTCTACTCTTCTGTATGCATTACTGAATATCTTTACATCAATAGTGTGTTTTTTGTGTAAAATATAAGTTTAGTTCTTTCAAAGTTTTCTTCCATCGTCATTCTTCCAGGTTTTGATTTTTTAAACCACAGCTTATTCCATTAGGTTAAGATTCTTGATTCGTTAAATGTTGTATATCTATGTTAGAGGATTGTCACTGATTTATATGTGTTATGGGGATGGTACAGGATAAGTGGAAGACATTGGTCCATACAGCAAGAATCTCCCCTCAGCGAAGGAGGGGAGAACCTGTGCCACAGGAGCTTTTAGACAGGGTCCTAGCTGCCCATGCCTACTGGTCCGGACACCAGGCCAAGCGACAGCTCAAATAAGCTGTCTGAGGTTTTACTAGGTCTCTGGTCAATGTTGTAAATCTGTGATGTAATGAAATTTCTGTAAATGAAAATTATGTAGCATGCAACCGAATTGCCTTCGTTGGATAGAGTTTGGTTCCTTGTAGATAGCTTTAAGTTAATTTGCCGACATTGTTTCCTTATTTTGTTCTAACGTGAAATATTAATAAAATATCTTCATGAAAGAACTCATGAAATTCTCTCTGTTGTCTTCAAAACATTCTTCTCATTCTTCTTTTTGGATAAAGACCAAGTAGAGATCGAATTCTGGTGCTGACAATAGTGGGAAATGAGACTAAAATTTTGATGCCCTGCAGGATAGATGTTACATGATGATGTGAATAAAGTGCCATTGGGGTGAAAACAGAATGAATTTACTTCTGGCAGCTGCCTCAGCCTGATGTTTCTTGATAAAGACCAAGCAGAAATAAAGCTTTTGCTATTGGAGAATAAAAGAATCCTGAGAAAAATGTAACTCATGGCAATATTGATAGCTTGATTGGGAAGCTCACATGGCAATGGGCTGCCCCATCATTGCAAATAATGTTCTGATTCTTAATTTGTGATCATCTGTCTCTACATGATGATTCTTTAGAACAATTTATTATGAAAACCTGGGTACTCCTTTCTTACAATGCCTGCTGCGGATTGGTTTGAACAAGGAAGTGGGCATGATGGAAATTGCAGAAGGTGGGGGTTTAATTTATAAAACTATTTGATTCTCCAATTCTCCAGAATCAAAATATATTCTCCAACAGCAGAAAAAGCTTTACATAAAGTTCAACAAAGAAAGGAAAAGATGGATCTGCAGCCCACCAACAGACAAATGGAAAAGGTAATGCAAACACTCTCTGTTCTGAGAATGCTGATTCCTGAGCATGATCTATACTTATCATACAATGAAAGGCTACACCATTTATCCTTACACAATAAGATAACATCTCTTTTGGGTAATGAATATAAAAACCCAAAAAAGTGTTACTTGAAAATTCTACAATTTGGTGGTGGTGGAAGCATGTTAGCTTCTTGGGCAAAAAGAGTTTATCACAAAGGCCCTTTACCTAATGAAACAAATAAAGAATTTCTTCCATTGATATTCAGTACTTTGAATCTGACTGCTTTTTCCTTCTTGTATTGAACCAAATTAGAAAGATGCTTTGTTGCTTTTTTTCAAAGTTAGAGGACATAATAATGCAAACCACAAAGTGGGCAAAGTGCCATAGTTGCTTTTGGTCCTCAAACCAGTCCAAGGTTTTTCTTAATCATCATCATTAGACAGTGGACAGTTGAAAAAGGTTAAGCCCAAATTTATACGGTAAGGAAGAGAAGCAATGATGAATTGATTATTATTATTCCATAATAAATGATTATTATTCTCATTTAAAGGTTAGTTTTTGGAGCAAAGGGATCTCTTGTAATGAAAATTTCACAACTTGGTTTGGGTTTTGTTAAGGTTTATTCACAAAAGACACGTCCGACCCAAGAGAGCAAAGAAGTCAACCTACGATGGACGCGCACGTTCGTGTCCAAGCAACAAAGGTTCCACTACCAACAAATAGCCATGTCTCTCTCTCTCTCTCTCTCTCACACTCTTTGTCCGAACTGAAATTTCGTCTTCACTTCAACGTCTCTTTCTGGGTTTCGGATATGCTGCAGTCCACGTGCATGGCCAAGGTCATTCCCGTAAGTTCACCTTCGCAGAAAAAGCCTGAAAGCGAGAGTGATTCATTCAACCGCAATGAGATCAAGCCAAAAGGGCAACAACCCAACACAGGGAAACGCCCCGGATGAGCCAAAACATAGTTCTCTTACCGACACGTGGAGATTATTAATTGGTTTTAGAGCTAGAGTCCACTCTGTATAATTTAGCAGGAGACTGGGGAGGGGAAGACATGATGGCCTGTAGCCGGGGACTTTTTTTTTCTTTTGTTGTTTCGGAGTGCTTAAAAAAATCAGCGGCTGTTATTGCTTCACTCTCCTGAGAGAAAAATATACTAATTTTCTCCTTGGGAGTAAAAGACAGCATTAACTACCAACTGGAAATGAAATACACTGCGCTGCCTCCTTTGATCCCTTGTTTCTCTCTCTATCTCTCTGTTTTTGTCTCCTTTGTGTTTCTCTTGCCTCGTCCAAAGGTACGTTTTTGCTTTTGTTTAACAGGAAAAAGTTGATTGGTTTTTGTGAAAGGGCTTTGATTTCCTTGCTTCTCCTTGTTGACCTTTAGTATTGATTAAACTGTTGCTGTCACTAAGTTCAACATTCTTCTCTCCTTTTCTTTTTCATTGGGTTTTATCAAAGCCCTGGGTTGGTTAGAACTTAGGCTTATAGGTGCATTTTTCTAACTCTCTTTGGTTTATTCTTCTCTGATTACTTCTGCAAAATGCGGAATTTGTTCATGGTCCTTTGAAAGTTCTAAGCTTTGATTATATTTTGGAGTTACTTTGTGTACTTCAATAGCTTTTTGGGATATAAAGAATTTGAATAACTGGAAACAAGGAGGTTAGCAACTGGAAAGACAATTCTCTGTTTCTGAAAATAGCTTAAGTGCAGTTTGCAATTGTGTTTTTCAAGTTTGGGATTCTTGTTGGGGTTATCTGCTAGAATATAGATGGTTATGGATCCCGGGTTTAGAGGGTTTTCTGGTTTCCAACTGAGGAATCAAACCGTGTCTGTCTTTCCGAGTCAACCTGTATCAGTTTTTCCGAATCAGAACTTTGTTGCCGGTCCCAGATTCCAGAACACCTACATAGATCACAACTTTCGGGAATTTGATTACCACCCACCTGATCCAACACCAAGTAATATAGCACCTATTTCAAGTTTGAGCCATGAGGAAGATCCGTCCGAAGACTGTGATTTTTCCGATTCAGTTTTGAGATACATAAACCATATTCTCTTGGAAGAAGATGTGGAGGACAAGTCATGTATGCTTCAAGAGTCTTTGGATCTTCAAGCTGCTGAGAAATCATTTTATGATGTCCTTGGCAAGAAGTACCCACCTTCACCATCCCCTGAACAGAACTCTACTTTTGTTTATGAAAGCGGAGAGAAACCTGATGATAGTTTTGTTGGAAATTGTGGTAGTTATTTCAGTAGTTGCAGTGATGGTAGCAGCTACGTTGTTGACACTGGGCAGATGCAAAATTTGGGTGATTATAGTACCACTCAGGCACAAAGTCTTCCTGTTTCTGGCATGTCTCAATCATCGTATAGCTCTTCAATGGCTAGCATAGATGGGCTGATGGAGTCTCCAAATAGTACTCTTCAGGTCCCTGATTGGAACGGTGAAATCCAATCCATTTGGCAATTCAGAAAGGGGGTTGAGGAGGCCAGTAAATTTATTCCGAGAAGCGAGGAGCTTTTTGGTAACTTGGAGGTCTGTGGAGTGGAATCGCAGGAGTCCAAAGGGTGGACTAGAGGGTTGGTTGTAAAGGAAGAGAGTAAAGATGAAGGAGAGTACTCACCTACTGGTTCAAAGGGAAGGAAGATTTCTCACAGAGACGATGTAGAAATTGAAGAAGAGAGGTGCAGCAAGCAGGCAGCAGTTTATTCAGAATCCACTGTGCGATCAGAGATGTTTGATATGGTGCTGCTCTGTAGTTCGGGGAAAGGTCCAACTCATTTTACAAATCTTCGTGAGTCCTTGCGCAATGGAAACAGTAAAAATGTGCAGCAGAATGGACAGTCAAAGGGACCTAATGGTGGAAAAGGCCGTGGTAAGAAGCAAAATGGGAAAAAAGAGGTGGTGGATTTGAGAACACTCCTCATTCATTGTGCACAAGCAGTTGCAGCTGATGATCGTAGGAGTGCAAATGAATTGCTAAAGCAAATCAGACAACATACGTCTCCATTTGGGGATGGGAATCAGAGATTAGCTCATTGCTTTGCTGATGGTCTTGAGGCACGCTTGGCTGGTACAGGTAGCCAAATCTATAAAGGCCTTGTCAGTAAGAGAACTTCTGCTTCTGATATCTTGAAAGCTTACCTTCTGTATGTTGCTGCATGCCCTTTTAGAAAGGTTTCTCATTTCATCTGTAACAAGACAATCAATGTTGCATCCAGAAAGTCAATGAAGCTCCATGTCATAGATTTTGGTATTCTTTATGGTTTTCAATGGCCTACCCTCATTGAGCGGCTTTCTTTGAGATCTGAAGGGCCTCCAAAGCTTCGGATTACTGGAATAGATTTTCCACAACCTGGTTTCAGGCCAGCTGAGCGAGTTGAGGAAACAGGACGGCGTTTAGCAGCTTATGCCAAAGAGTTCAAGGTGCCATTTCAGTACAATGCCATAGCAAAGAAATGGGATAACATTCGAGTTGAGGAACTTGATATTCACGAGGATGAGTTTGTTGTTGTTAACTGTCTGTATCGTGCTAAGAACTTGCTTGATGAAACTGTGGCAGTAGACAGTCCAAGAAATATTGTTCTCAATCTGGCACGGAAGATTAATCCAAATATTTTCATCCATGGGATTATGAATGGAGCCTATAATGCCCCATTCTTTGTCACACGGTTCCGAGAGGCTTTGTTTCATTTCTCTTCAATGTTTGATATGCTTGAAACTATTGTGCCCCGCGAGGATTGGGAGAGGGTGCTGATCGAGAAAGAGATTCTTGGCAGGGAGGCCTTGAATGTTATAGCTTGTGAGGGCTGGGAGAGAGTGGAGCGGCCTGAGACATTCAAGCAGTGGCATGCCCGTAATCTGAGGGCTGGGTTTGTGCAAGTGCCTTTTGGAAGGGAGATAGTCAAGGGGGCAACTGAAAGAGTAAGGTCATTATACCACAAAGATTTTGTAATTGATGAAGATGGCCGCTGGCTGTTGCAAGGATGGAAGGGAAGAATAATTTATGCCCTCTCTGCTTGGAAGCCTGCTTAAGGAGTTTAAATTTCAAAGTCTGCCTTTCTTCTCTTTGGGTGCTCTGACAGGAAAAATTAGGAAAACCACGGTAATGCTGTTTTCATTTTTTCCTACGTTGTTAATTACTGTACTACTGGCAGATCTGCAGATAAGATAACAGAGACATATGGTAACTGATTGCAATGTTTGAATGATTACAGGTCATGCTAAGAGAAGCTGCTGGTTATCTGGTTTACTTCTAGAAGACTGACAGTAATTAGAACATCAACAACTTGAAGAACTGGAAAGTGCACACTGCACTGATTTGTTGTATCTTAGCTGACCTCTTGTGGTTCCGTAGGCAACTTGACGACAAGGGAAAGAACTGTAAAATACATATGAACATGTTTACAGTTACATTGTAGAAGTAGACATTCTATGATGCAAGCCAATGTGAAATTTGCAAAAACCTGCATTTTTTCTGAGGTTTTGGCAGCCTCTTTCTTGCTATTTATGTCGTTGCATTTGTCCCAAATTCTGAGCAAATTGTATCAGAAAGCGCTTAAAACATTTGGGTTTCTGCTAAAAAATAAGCATGGCATTAAAATGCATTCCAAATATCAATCTAGCTTTTTTTCTCTCAACACAAATTGATTGACACCAGGCCACAACCATATAAAACCATGTGTTAGAATTCCATCATTATAGCTTCCAATCAGCATCTGTAGGGAATCTTCCTCTTATAGAGCCTCCATCTTTCCAACGTCAACCTGGTGGGACCTTCCATTACCTAAAAGGATTGAAGGTTGGTGCTCAAAAAATAACCAAGGGCATCTGAAATTAAATATTTCAAATAGCTATACATTGAGGGAATAATCTGGCTCCGCCTTCAGGTTTTGTTAAGCCATTCTAAACTTTCACTTGCATTATGAAACTTAAACCTAAACCTGATTACATGAAAAAGTTACCTTAAAAAATTGGCAAGCAGCTTATGAGGGATTCTGTTTAATGAAAACCCAAGTTCCCAAACCATTTCAGAAAAAATATACATACTTTTTTTGGGTGGTTCCATTATCAAAGTCTTTGGAAGACATTGATTATTACTGTAGAATCTGGCTCCTGCTGCAAAGTTCCAGAGCAGGTAATGGCGGTCCAAACTGAAGTGGACATAAACATTGTTTGGATTGAGGTAGACTCCCACAATTGAAGCATATTTGATTCGTCCAACCATTCAAAACCAATCAAATGGAGCCTTAGTTGAGGACCATATTCTGTGGGGACCAAATTTATTTGTCCAGATCAGTTACTCTGATATTCCATATGTGTGTAATTTTCTTCCGAGTGAAGTAAAAATAATCCAAATATGATTGGAAGCTGCAAAATTTAAACCAGCATGTCATTTTTCATTTATACATCCAAGAATATTCAGGATACAGATATGAAGGTTATCTACTTCCATAGCTCTATGAAGATCTAATCTCTCTACCCATCCTTTTTTTTTCTCCCTCAGGTTCAGGTAGAGACCAAAGGTCATGAGTAATAGATTATAGATCCAGCAGAAGATTTGAAAACATAAAGAAATCTTGAGAAATTTTATGCTGCTAGGACTGAAGATGAACCAGAAAAAAAGGTACATGTCAAATAGAACAGCATTTACTCTTGATTCTATTGTGCCAAATTCATACAAACAAGATCTTGCAGAACAACTTTCAAAAGAAAGACTGTCAACCCTTTGTCAGGGCAAACTCGACCAAGGGTCCACTCCCATATGCAGCAATTAAATGTTTCCAAATAGAAAGAAAGAAAGTCAACTGCCTGAATATTGTTCGAGAAATTTTACTCAGCAAGAGGAGGTACAATTGTTTTGTACTAAACAGGACAACTAAATTCAGAAACTAGATCACATATTAGCAAAGAATTTATGGCCAAGGGAGCACAGGAAACAACTATGTTCATTCAACAAACCGACGTGTCCTTTCCATTCCAATGAAACAACCTCCACCCATATTACCTGTCATGAAAAGTAGGAAATCAGATAGGTAGATGAGTACCTTCCGAGAATGATACAAACAATAGTTGCAGCAATTGACTTTTGATAGCCACTTGTTAATATAAAGTGTTTTGCTTGATGCCTTCAAAACATGACTAGTTTTACCATTCTGATTCAATGTTCGACAGACATATGCCTATGATGGACCAAGTACACAGATCTTAACGTAAATTAATATTCCACCATTCCAATGGCCGGTTGAAAAGTCTGAGTTTGGCAAGTTTATGCTTCCATGGGGACTCACTACCAGATATCATGTCATCCTAAAATAATACAGGTCAGGGTATCACTGAAGGATGAAAACTTATTATTCATGTCAAGTTATTTCATAAACGTTAATAAACCAGGCAAGTCGATGGTAGTGAAATGAACAGACAGAAGGCGACAGTACAATAAACCCAGTATGGTTATGCTCAAGCTCAATACCACTTTCATAGATTCACTATGTTCAACTTTCATTTTAAGCATTACAGTTACATAACTTCTTCCGCAAAATTCACATTTCAAGATTTGCCAAACACAATTCAACATCTTATCTCTCCCTCCTCAACTTTTTTCCTTATGAAAGCCATACAAACTTTAAGATTTTGATGCTACTGTTGCGTAAGATCAACGAGTTCTGTTCTTTTTGAAACATCATTTTTAAGTTGTTGGGCTTTTGTTGGAAGAAAATAAGACCAAACAACAGTAAGCGCGGAAAAAGCATACCATTTTTCGAAACCATGTAAATGGGATATGCATCAAAACCTAGAATATGATGATAGTCTTAAAGAGATTAACTATTTTCTTTCCAGTGGCAAGAAAATTTAACACTTCAAGGAGCAATAAAGAACATAAAAATCAATTCCCATTTTAGAGTTCAGATAATCTGAGAACTACCATGCTTGCAAGTTTAAACCCTTTAATACCTTTAGGAAAACCAAAACAACATCCCTCATTCTTGTGTCGGCCTTTCCTCATCAAACCACCTTGGAGGATCAAAACCAGACCCACCTAATATACAAGGAATTTGCAATTAGAAACAATTATTAATACAATAAATCTATTAAAAAATAAGAAAAGAAAAGTTGAATTACCAAGAGGATTGCAACGGCAAAGACGCCAAGCTGTCAAGACTGTGCCCTTTACAACCCCATATTTCTTGTAAGCTTCCATTGAGTACTCACTACACGTGGGAACAAAACGGCAACTCTTTGGAATTAGAGGCGAGATTTCCCCTGTTTTTTATTCATTGCTTAACTAAAAATCAGTAAGAACAACTCAGATTTTTTATATTCTTTTCCCATGATTTTGCTTTGTCAAAAGAAAAAGAAAGAGACTTACTTTTGTAGAATTTAAGCACGGACAACGCAGCTTTAACTCCTAAACTCTCAACTTCATCACCTGATTAAACAAATAAAACCCAATTAAATAAACTAAGAAATTGAATCTTTTGATTGGTTGACTGAATTGAGAGAGAGAGAGAGAGAGAGAGAGAGAGAGTGAAAAAGGGACCTTTGGGAGTGTTTTGGTCAGAGTTTTGAAGCGAGCCATTAATGGCAAGGTTACGGCGGCCTCGAAAACGAAATCCGGAAGCTTGATTTGGAATTCGAGGATCAAAATTGATGGAAACGAGATTAGGGTTCTTGGGTTGAGTTGATAAAGGACGGAAAGGTTTATGGCAGTTAAGGGACTTAATAACCGCCATGGCAGTTTCAGTGCGTTGCTTTGGAGCGAGCTTATTGTCTTATGGAATAGAATTCTACCAGCTAAAACGACATCGTTTGTTTGCAAAAGGCCACAAACGTTATCCAACAGCTTCTTTCCATGGGATATCAAAGACAAAATAATTTCATAATTATGCTTTTAATTTATTTAGCTAAATTCTTAAAGAATATGAGCTTAAAAATCACTCATTTTAAATAAAATATTGATGAAAAAAGGTTTTTTGGGGACTAAAAATAATAATTAGAACAAAAGTAAAGTAATTTAACATGAGGGGAAACATACAGTATTCAGTTCAAATATTGAGATCCATGGCAATGTGAGACAAACAAAAACATAAGAATGCTAATTGATGTTCAGACCATAATATCATTGCAACAGCATCTTAAGAGTTCAGCTCAGGTTTTGGAAGGATGCCTGAGAGTAGACACAGCTGATAGTTTGATTGTTTTTTGTTACTTACTACTGACCATGCACGGCCTTTAAAGTTTCAGATGCTCACAACTATTCAAATTAAAACTTCTTAGGAGCATAATAATAAACAATAAATTCATGGCCTCGCGAATTAGAAAGGAGTAGTGATCTGGGAAAAGAGAGCCTTGAAATCCTTTGTTGGAATGCCTACGCCCTCAGGCTTTGAGGCTAAATCAAATGCCTTGAATTTGGCCTCCTCGAACTTCAGTGCCTGTTTGAAAACAATGAATAAGATGCATGAAAATGGCAGTCCAATGGTGAGAATGGAAATGGTTTAGATTGGGAATACATTTATGTGAAAAGACGATACCTGTATGCAGACTTCTGCTACATCAGGCCTGGCAATTGTTCTTGTTTCAGTCTGAAGAAGCTCATCATCCTTCCCAACAAGAAATTCTCTGATGCCACCATCTCTATCCTGCAGCCCTCCAGCCCTAACTTGGCCAGAAAAAGTCAATGTCAGTTGTAAAGTTATAAAGGAATTAGACAAACAATGGCATTGCATTGCCCTTGAGGCCAATGGCATCTCCCTAGTTGAATAGGGATGCTGTAGATTTAACCAGTATGTAGGGAGAGGAGATGGCAGAGAGAAATTAACTTCCAAGCTGCCAAAATCCCAAAACATGCATGATATATATGATCATACCAAACTGAAAAAAAGAAAAATAGATTTGATATCTAGAAAAAACTCTGGAAGTCTACATCTAGCAATTAATAAAGATTACATTGAAAAGGTAATAGCAACGAAAACCAAAACTAAAAACTGACCAGGGTTCATATACCTGATAATTGTGTATGGAACACCAGAGTCAGCCAAATACTGCTCAGCCTTTCTCTTCCAGACCTGTGAAAGAAAAAATGAAGAAACCAAATAATTGAATAGTATCGATAAAAAACTCAATTCAGATAAAACAAAATTGAACAAAAGCTTATTCTCTCAAGCACGAGAGAAAAGGCCACCAGCAAAAGTAGGTGAAGTTTATTAGTATTGAAAAGAATGCTAACCAGAATGTTCCCATTGCCAAAACTGTTCAGGGGATGATTAAGGTTTGTTCCACCCATGGACCCAACCAACACAATATGCTTCACTCCAGCCTCCTTAGCTGCCCATTTCAATGTGGATTATGATTATTTGATTTGGTTAATTGAAAACTAGGCCTCTAGACTGAAAAATTTAGGAACCAAAAAGATGAACTCACCGACATCTATTTGATTTTTCTGACCACACCAGTCAACCTAAGAAACAAGATATATAGCCCTACATCAGTACAGTGAAGAATAAGAGAAAACAAGAGTAAAAGTCCTAGTATTAGAAGATGGATAAGGTTACTTGCTCAGGGTATGCTCCATCTTCAAAATAGAACTCAGGTCTTCCTCCTTTGGTTGGATCAAATCCAGGTTTCATTCTTGGGACAGCACTAGTAAGAATTATGAGAGCATCAACTCCTTGCATAGCAGGAACTAGAGTGCTGGGATCCCTTATATCCCCAACAAAAACGTCATCTGCTCCACCAATTTTCTCCTTGCTTTCTGGAGTTCTAACCAATCCTCTTGCAACAAACTGGTCTGACCTCTCTTTCAATTTCTTATAAACTATCTGACCTGCCAAGTCCGCCAACAAATTCAAGTCAATAGGGGGACATTACCATTTTCTGTAACCCATCTTCAATTAAAGAGAGTGAAGAGTATATTTAACTTATCTTTTTCACTTCTATACAAAAGGCAAACCACCATGGCAACCAGAAGATTCTAAGCACTTGAATTTTGTAGTTTGAATAAAGTGACGAGCAAAAAAGATACGGGACTCATCTAAGCCTCCAATTGAGAACATTTTCTTTGACATTTCATAAGCCTATGCAGCATTGCCAAGGGTAATGCTATGGTAATTTTACACAGAGTACAACACCCTACTGAAACTGACACTTATAACCCTTCTATATACAGCCTAAATGAAGCATTTCAGCTTTGCAAAGCCTTAAATTATCAATTATCAAAAGCTACATTCTGTGAAATGATCATGTTCTGGCCCCCTTTCACCATTTGCCTCCAATTAAGTTCCTTAAGAGTAACAAATTTCTTTGTTTGTGCCAGACGCCATAGGACTCCAAACTAAAGCTTACAAAATAAAAACAACAATATCTCATAAATCCGTGATAAACTCCAAAGTTATCACACTCTTAGCAACCAATTGTCTTGGCATACCAATTAAATTCCCCTAAATCCCAAAACCCCAAGTAGCCAAAAACCCAATTCAGCCATCAACAAAACTCCTATTAACATTTCATAGAAGTCCATACATAGACAAAGTCATTTTATCATTTTGTGTTCAAAGAAAAGTCATCTTCTTTATAGTGGGACAGAACTCAAAGTCAACAGAAAGAAATCTTTTTAACAAGCAAAACAACCAGAGAAAGTAAAAAAAAAGACAGAATGTAAAACAAAAGAAAACCTGTTCTGCCACCAGCTCCAGTGACAAGCACAGAGCTCAAATCCGCCATGGAAGCTAATATCACTGTTTTTCTCCTAAAACCCTTTTTGTTTCTTGTCGAGAGAGACGAAGATGAAGTTGAAAAGGAGTTAAAACTAAGCAAAGAGAGAGTAGAACAATCTGGAACTTTTCTTGTTAAAGGTATTGATGATGCCACGCAATTACATTTATGACAGTGACCAAAAGCCTTTGATGAAGGAGCTGGAACCGTGCAGGAGAAGACCAATGGGACACGTGTAAGCGTAGCCATTGATCAAGAAGAGTTGGTTTGACTGAGTTTCATCCGACCACCGGTAAGCATGCAGAAATCCGACAACCAGGACGAGGAATAAATTTTTGCTTTTTCCTGGATTTTAATTGGGCAACTGCTGTTGTTGTCTTAGCCGTTAAAGTGGTTGTTGAACTTGTAAGGGTTTGTTTGTTTATATTATTTTGATTTTTCTTATCCTGTTTCCGTTTCCAGGTTGGCCTTATCCCATGATCACTTTACGCTTACGTTTCTAAAGCCCACTCCCCTTCTCCCACGCGCCGCCTAACGTGGGTCATGCCTCATAAACCTGCTAGGTTAGCCCATGGTGAGAATTGATCGTGTTTGGTGAAGCAGTTGAGGCCCATAAATAAGGCAAGTTGGGCTGAGGATCTGGCAAAATCCTGAATCAAGAGTTCTAGTGCAGTACCATGTGCCTTTCTTCCATGCTTTCAATGTTTTTGTTTGATCGAATAGAGGCACAGAAGGCGAGGCAAGTGGTTCAGAAATTATCACTGCAAGTTCATTTTGATTATTAACGTGATAAGTTTTAATAACGTGTTGAGTGTTACATCTTTATGATTGAATTGACAGAAAACTTGTCTGTGCCGGAACTTCAGATAAGACTTTTCTGTTCCAACTATGACATCATGGCATGTTGAGTGACGCCGTGCTGCCTGGTCTGTCTACCTCTTGCTTTGCTAAAGATTCGGTAGCTTGAGTGAAATCTGTCAATGAAATCTTAGCCTGGTTCAAATCCTAATAAAAGTATGTCCTCATTGCTTGGGTGGCTGTCCTTGACAGGCTTCCAACCAAAGGAAGGATCTAGTTCTGGTGTTTGACTAATGCTACCTGTTTTCATTTTGTGGTAATACTGAGGAGACAAAGAGCCCACTTATTTCTCTCTTGCCCCCTTTAGGAGACGGTCATGCGGCTTTGTTGCTTGACTAGAGACATTGGAGACTGGAATAATGAATTTGCTTGTGTTTAGCACAGATTAAAGGGGAAGACTATCTTGGAGGGCTTGTATCCACAGAAAATTTGGACCGAAAGGAATGGTAGGCTACATATAGGGGTATGCAGAGAGCACCAGATGAGCTCATTAACAGCTTGTTATGCTCTCCTATGACAGGTTGCTTACCTGTTTTCTTGGATAACAGAAGTATGGAAAAAAACAAAAGACTTGGAATTGGGATATTAAAAGAGTGACCTTCAAATCTGGAAATCGAGTCTCAGATGGAAACGAGAAGCAACTGAAGGCTGGACGGTTGAAGAAGGATTCAAGCAAGTGTTGAACGGTGTCATATGGTTGTTTGCAAATGTTTAAGAGGTTTTAATACTGCAGTTTGCTTGTGTCGTTTTATGTTTTAGCTTGTAAAGTTGTTTAAACGACTTAGTGGACTGTCGTTTTTTCAATATTTCTTTAAGTTTACTCTTAAGCGCTTGTTATGAGCATCATTTTAGGCGTTTCTTGTATAGGCCAACGACCATTTATTTGTTCCCTGTTATAGCTGTTAGAGCACAGAAAACTTTATCTCGTTTTCTGTGCTTTGTGATCCGATTTTGTTAGCTTTTCATTCTCTAGGCTACATCTGTGGAGGTGGTTCTTTGTGATGGGTATAAGTATTATTTGTAACCGCTGCTGTATTCGAATTTTTTTCTTGGATCAATGAAATTTTTTCAGCCTCTCTTTTTCCCATAAAATCATTAAGTCTTTAGTTCTCTTTCATGGCATCAAAGCATATTATCTTAAGGGACTCGTAACATGATAGTTGTGTGATCAAAACATCTTCGATTCAATATGGCTATCGTTGGATTCAGTGCAATTACACCCCTTGTGTTCACTGGTATTAATTACCCCTTCTCGACAGTAAAAATGAGATCTTATCTCAAGGTTTTTAATTTGTGGGACATGACGGAGTCTAGTGAGATGCCTATTCAAAGGCATGCAAATTTGACCCTTGCTCGGATTAAGTAGCACTCGGAAGAAGTTGCAAAGAGGTACAAGGCTTTGATTAGCTTGCAGTTGGCTACGTCACAGTCAATTTTTGAAAAGATTATGCATCTAGAGGATCCTAAGGGACAACATAAAAGAAGAATATTAGGAAAATGACAAAATCAAGGTTATGCACATCATAAATTTATCTAGACAGTTTAAGATGATGAAAATAAAGAAAGAGAAGAGCATTCAAGAGTATATAGACAAGACGTTGAAGTTGGTGAATCAGCTTAGAATGTTGGGACAAAAGGTTATTGATCAGAGGATGGTCAACAAATTTTGGTGAGTATGTCAAATAAGTTTGAGGCAAAGGTAACTTCACTTGAAGATTTCAAGGATTTGATTAAAATTTTTGTGAAAGAGTTGATCTATACTTTATTAGCTTTTAAGAAAATGAAGACTCTTAAGCATGAGAACTCCATAGAAAATGCCTTAGTTGTTAAAACTAAAGGCTTAAGGGTTAAAGTTGATAGCTCGAAGAAGAGTAGTAATAATGGTTGTAAATCAAGTACTGCAAAACAAGGAAAGAATCAAGACAAATATCCCCTTGGCACTCATTGCAAGAAGATCAATCCTACTCCCAAGTACTGTTGGTACAAACCTAATGTGAAATGTAGAGCCTGCAGTCAACCTGGATATGTGGAGAAGGTATGTAAGGCCAAGAAGCAGGAGACTAAAGGAAAGGATGCAATGGCAGAAGAACTTGACAAATTAGAAGAGGTATTATTTATGGGTAAAGCAGATGATGACATAGCTAACAAGTGTACCTGACTGATTGATAATGGCTACTCAAATCACTTGACAGATAGTGCCAATCTTTTCACTGAGCTTGATGAGAGTTATAGGGCTCGTGTAAACATTGGAAATGGCTTTTACATGAAAATACTTGGAGTAGGCATTGTAGGAATTAAAACTATTGCTGGTATAAAGTTTATTCATGAAGTGCATTATGTGCCTGAAGCATATCAAAATCTACTTAGTGTAGGTCAATTAAATGACAATGGTTATGCTTTACTATTCAAATATAGACAGTGCACAATTTTTGATCCTATTGGTGTTGAGCTATTAACAGTGAGCAAGAAAAACAAATGCTATCCAATGGATTTGTTAGCAAGCAAACAACAAGCACTTTATAGTGAGTATGATTCATTAGAATTGTGGTATAAACATGTTGGACATGTGAATTATAATTCACTGTCAACAATGGCTTCAAAGGAGCTTGTGTTAGGTCTACTCACTATTGTCAAACAAGAAAAGCTATGTAAAACCTATCAATTTGGAAAAATGACCAAAAAGCCTTTTTTTAAGGAGAGTAGTTGGAAAACAACACAGAAACTAGAGCTAGTTCATACTGATTTGAATGGTGAAACCCTTCATTGAGTGGAAATAGGTATTATATCCTATTTATTGATGATTTCTCTCATTATTGTTGGATCTATTTTTTGAAGAACAAATAAGAAGCTTTAAGAAGTTTTTTGGAGTTCAAAGCACAGGTTGAGAATTTTTCCAGCTTAAGTATCAAAGTACTAAGGATAGATAATGGATTTGAATACACTTCAAATAACTTTGAGAAGTTTTTGGCAGCAGTTAGGATTCATTATCAATTAACAATAACTTATAGTCCACAGCAAAATGGCAAGGCTAAAAGGAAGAACAGAACAAATTGTAGATTTGGCAAGGTGCTTGTTATTTCAATGCAATTTGCTTATGAAATTATGGGTTGATGTAGTTAACACTACCAATTATATTCAAAATAAAAGTATGACAAAGGCACTAGCACTCAAGACTCCATTTGAGATTTGGTATGAACACAAGCCTTCTATCTTCATTTTCAAGTCTTTGGTTGTGTGTGTTATGCTCTAATCTTGATGTGAAGAGGTCCAAATTTGATTCTAAGGCTTTTATTGCTGTGCATAATTTATAGAGTATAGATTGTATGATTTAAAAGCAAACAAAGTGGTTATCAGTTGAGATGTGATTTGTGATGAGAATCAGTGTTGAAACTGGGAAAAAAAGTTTGTTGAATCTGTACATGGTGGTCATTGCATAAATGATCATCAACCACTGGTAGAGACTGATGATTTTGACATTGAAGATGAAAGTAAGGTTGTAAAAGGGACTGGTACACTAGAAGAAATATACAGCAGATGTAATCTTGCTATTGCTGACTCTACTACTTATTCTGAAGCTGTAGTTGATGAGAACTGGAGCAAGGTTATGGATACTGAAATCTGCATGATAAAGAAAGACAATGCTTGGTTGCGTGTACACAAACTTACAAATCACAACATAATAAGAGTCAAAGTGGATATTTAAAGCTAAGCTAAATCTTGATGGCTTAATAAATAAATATAAAGCTAGGCTGGTGGTTAAGGGATATGCTCAAATTTATGGAGTTGATTATCTAGAAACCTTTGCACTAGTTGCTAGACATGACACTATCAGAATGCTCACTACATTCGCTAACAGAGAATGATGGAAGATATAGCATTTAGATGTAAAGTCAACTTTTCTAAATGGCTATCTGTTTAAAGATTTCTTCATGGAACAACCAGAAGGGTATGAAGAACCAGGGTCAGAGAACAAAGTTTGTATGCTAAGGAAGGCACTGTATGGTTTAAAGCAGGCACCTAGGGCTTGGTATGACAGGGTAGATGCTTACTTTACTGGTCAAGGCTTTTTGAAAAGTGTAAATGAATCTACACTGTATGTGAAGATGTCTGGTAACACTGCAGTATTGATTGTTGCGGTGTATGTTGATGATTTGTTAATTACTGGACTCGTAGATTTTTGTTAGAGTTTAAAAGCCAAATGATGAAGGAGTTTGAAATGACTGACCTGGGGTTAATGACATATTTCTTGGGCATAGAGGTTCTACAAACTGGTGAAAACGTATGGTTACATTAGACAAAGTATGCTAAGGATTTGTTAAAGAAGTTCAACATGTTTGCTTGCAAGGCAGTAGCTACTCCACTACCTTCATGGGACAAACTTAGTAAGAAGGATGATTCTACAGCAGCTGATGGTTTTATTTACAAAAGTCTAATGGGTTCATTACTTTACTTGACAGCAATAAGACCTGACTTTTTTTTTTTTTGAAAAGTAATAAGACCTGACTTGATGTATGCCACATGTTTATTGTCTAGATTCATGCAAGCCCCTACATTGTTACACTTAACAGCAGCTAAAAGAATCCTCAAGTATGTTAAAGGCACTGTTGATTTTGGTTTGAGGTATGTGAGGTAGGATAGTGGAGAATTAGTTGGATACAATGACAATGACGGGGCAGGGTCACTTAATGATTCGAAAAGCACAGTTGGGTTCTGTTTCTCTCTTTGCATTGCAGTTTTCTCATGAAATTTGAAAAAACAAAGTGTTGTTGCATAGACTACCGTAGAAGGTGAGTACATTACAATTGCAATAGCTGTAAATCAATTGAGGTGGCTAAGGAAGATACTAGCTGATCTTGGTTTCAAACAAGATAATGGTACCGTGATATTGGTTGATAATAAATTAGCTATTGCAATAGCCAAAAATCCAATACACCATGGGCAAATTAAGCATGTCAAGGTGAAATATCATGCACTTAGAGAGGCTGTGCATGAAAAACTGGTTAAGCTCAAGCACTGTAATTCAAAAGAACAATTAGCTGACATATTGACGAAGGGCTTATTCAAAGATAGATTCGAGACTCTCTGGTCATGGGGGAGTGCTAAAAGAATGACCTTCAAATGTGGAATCGAGTCTCAGATGGAAGCGGGGAGCAACTGAAGGCTGGAAGGTTGAAGAAGGATTCAAGCAAGTGTTGAACGGTGTCGTATGGTTGTTTTCAAATGTTTAGAGTTTGTAATACTGCAGCTGTTTCTGTCGTTTTATGTTTTGGCTTGTAAAGTTGTTTAAACGACTTAGTGGACTGTCGTTTATTCAACATTTCTTTTAAGTTTCTTCTAAACGCTTGTTATGAGCATTGTTTTAAGTGTTTCTCGTATAGGCCAACGACCGTTTATTTGTTCCCTGTTATAGCCATTAGAGCACAGAAAAGTAGCCACATAATTGCTGCAAAGCCAAATTCTCTTTGCTTGCAACTTCACGCAATCAATGGACCAGCCAGATACATCAGTGACGCAAATGGTAGGGACTTCCAAGGCTTCAGCCAACTCCCTTAATCACAACCTTCAAACTTTACACATCTTGGAGTCTATCTCCTCATGATAAGCTTGAAATACATTCTGAATAATACATTAATCATAACAAGTCATGTGCCTTCTGTTTTTCATGCATCAAATCTGCCCCTCCTGATCTGAAATGTATTATATACAACATCTCCACTATATGACTGAAATGATTAAATTACATCCAGTGCTATGTATTATAATCATAACGTGATTAGTACGCCCTTTGGATCGATTAAGACAACACTGATTAAGCCATGCGAAACAGGAGGAACGATGATTAACATAACATTCCATTCTTGTTAACCGAAAAAGGAGAATTTTCCTTTTTTTTTTTATAGATTTATATTTATATAATCATGAAGAGAACAAGACATCTACATCATCTGAACAAGAACAAGGGAATGGAGACAATATGATCCCGCTAGACATGATGGCTTTTCCTCCTCATAGTAGTGAGAAAGGAATAACATAGAATCTAAGCTGTCACAGATGTCTCCACTGCAACCTGGCCAGGGTAACTGACTTCAGATTTCATGTCGGTTTCCCAGAGCTCCGGTAATGCCTGCTTGATATTGTGAATGCTTTCTAATGCATAATCTGCACCTTTAGGTCTCTGGGAAGTGCCAACCTACATTAATTTTTAATGGCAGAAAGGCAACAAGTTAGCTATTCATTTTCGTTCTAAGCAACTATTTTGGTTAGTCTAAGGCACCAAAAATTTTCAAGGACTTACCAGCACAGTGTGAAGACCCACACGTTTTCCAGCCTGGATGTTGCGGACACTATCATCAAAGAACAACTGAAACAGCAGAACCCAACGGTGAATATCTTCAGTAGATTGTAAAAGCATTAAAGTACAAAATTGATGAGCTGTAGAAATTCTTACTGTTCTCTGAGGGTTGATGTTGGCAATCTTGAGAGCACGCTCTATGGCAGATTCTTGTGGCTTGCAGACAATGGGTGTCTTGGGTAATGTTGCACCTGGCTTGGGCTGAGCAAAATGCCCAACTATGTCAAAAATTTCAGGGCCGCTAGGAACATCACTTGTAGCAGCAGCTGATCCCAAAAACTCAATGTCATCTTCATCATCAGAAACTGTATTCTTATGGGTAGGATTGAGAGTCTCAAAGCATATAATCCCTTCAAAACAGTCTTCTAATCCTAGTTTACTTAGAGCTTTAGCTGCATGAACCTTGTCTGCATTTGTGAAGATCTGTTTCAACAAGAGACATTTCAGTTTTATGAGAACAATTCAATTTCATAAAAGTATGGTCCATATTGGCCTATCTATTCGGTAGTCAACTACTTACAATTTTTCGAAGAGGCAAGGTCAGCAATAGACTCCTCAATTGAGGATCCGGTTTCAAGTTCTCATAAGGGAGTCTTCCATGAACATAACTGTTCAAAGGAAAATTAAAAGGTCAATCAAAAGAGGGAGAAAGAAAAGGAGAAGAAAAAGAAGAAACAGAAAAAGAAAAGAGGGATTCCAATACCTATGGTACTCATCATAGTCAAAGTCATAACCAACTGCCTGCAGGAGAAAGAGAGAAGAAACCACATTAAATATATATAATTTACCAGCATGACTCTTGCTCAATTTTTATCTAATGAAAAAGAATGTTGGAAAAGGAAAAAAACAAAGAATGGGTGGGGTAAAATAAAAGTAATACCCTGAGGCCAGCCATTGTTGTCCCATAATTCTTATACAACAGGTTGGACAATTCAACAATTTTGTCCTTTTCAATGCCCAGCTTTTCAACCATGTAATCTGAAGGAGATGGCATTCATTTAAATATTAGATTACCATGGAATCTTGACAGTGAAAATGGGAGCATCCAAGTATCACAATGCAAATCCTTACCTTTAATATTCTTTCCACATTCTCTTGCAAGACCAGAGCTAAGGGGATAAAGGGTATCATCAAGATCTGCAAATTTCAAGCAAATGGTTACTAGATCCTTCCCAGCCATTAGCTCATGTATTGGCCACTTATTTTCAAGTAGAGCAGCTTACCAAACAGAAGGCAATCATATTTTGGCCTCTGAGCTAGCCTGTATCGGTCCTCGAATTCCATTTTCTCTCCTTGATGGTAAGTAATCAGCAAGGAACTTGATCAGAGGACCTTAAATAATCAATGAAGAGAAGTTAACACTGAGTTCCAAGATAGCTTAAAGCCACTCAAACTAATATTACATATTGATTTTAAATCTCCAACACACAATATTGACTTAGATTACCACCATCAAATAAGAAGAAATCCTAACAAGTGGACAACATTTAGCCAATCCCAAATAGTTGGATGAGACTTCAATTAATGAGTTCATGAGTGGATAAACCACAACCACAACCTCAAATCAAAACAAAGAACAGGTATTCTAATGTTCTTTTAGGCTCTATAATAGTAAAAATTTATCAAGCTCGAAGGTTCCACGTTGATGACAAGAAAGGGCATAAAGCTATGATTAAAGACTAAAAGTTATTAAAACAAAGCTAATGTGGGTTATTAACAACTCTTTTAAGTATTAAAAACAACTCAAATGATACACTTTAAAGAGTCGAAACTGAAAAGTGAATGATAATTTAGCAGAAAAGCCACTCTTTTGATGTATGGGACTAAAAGGTGGTGATAATTAAACAAAGAAAAAGACCCAAAAAACCAACTTCCCATCAAAGAAAGTTTACATTTTTTTCTCTAGCATAACAAATATGCATTATATCACAGTGCTCTTTTCATTTCGTCATGAAAGGAAACCAATGACAGGAAAACAATACATTTTATATGGTTTTTAAGAGAACCCCAAAAGGAAAAGCCTTTCATCATCAAAACCCAGGAAGCAAAAAGCTTTCCTAAGGCATGACCAAGAATGGTTGAAAATGTAAAATGCAAGACAATTCAAGCAACGCTGCAATGAAAAAAAAAAATACCTTAATGGTTTCCAAAACCAGGTAAGCTAACAAAAGGAAAAGACTTTGAAAGGCCAAGAAACAGAGGAAACAGAGAGAGATTGCAACAATGTTCTCAAGGAAGAACAGAGAGCGGAGGGGGGGAGGAAGAAGGGAGGCAAGGTGGGTTTTTATAGGCCAAATGGTTGGCTCCTTCTGCATATTAAAATCATTAAGTTATTCAAGTTAATCACGTTTAATGTAACTTGCGTTGAAACAACAGCATCTTTTTGTAATATTCAAAGCCTAAGAGAAAGTAACAGGAAGTAACCAAAGCAAAAGTAACGTTTTATTTAAGAAAAAAGTAAAAACCGAGTTAGCTGTTCGAATAGGACTCTCTCGATCTTTACCTTTCCCGTTTTGTCCCCGTTTTCCACGGTCCAAATTCATCCATTTGTTTATTACAGTAAAATCCAGAATTGCCCAGACTTTTGTAGCACAGTTGCTGTAAATTTATATGAATTGGGTAAATTTTTGCACACCTTCACCTCACTATTTTGTGATTTTTTTTCTTAATTAACATCTCTTAAATATTTTTTTCCTTAATTAACACCACTATGTAATTTCTGTTCTGATAGAACCATGTGTTAATTTTATCTTGTAAAATTATTAAAAAACTCTTAATTCAAAGTTAATTTATTTGTTTACATTTACAAATATTTTTATAATTTGATTAAACAAAATTAGCGGTTTAACCGCTTGTGAAAATAAAATTATATCCATAAGATGTAATTAAAAAAAATACCCATAAAATATAATATAAAAAAATTAAAATTATAAGAAGTGTAGGTGAAATTTACCCTAATTCTTTTCCAGTCCCAAAGAAAGGAACAAAATATATTGGTATAATTATTGAAGTTTCTTTGCTGAGTTGTGAACTTATCTTTGGGTTTTATAATGAGTTGGGCACAAAAGATAGGATCAGACCAGATGGTGTGCCTAAAATACAGGTAATTTCTCTATTTCTATATATAAAAAAGGGCAGATGCCAGTTCTTGGTTCCACCTGGATCCAATATAGAGAACTCTGGTCATTTAATCATAAGAGCTTCCATCATATAAAATTCAGTCATGTATTGAAAATTTTTGGATTCAATGGTATACCCAAATCTTAAACATTTCATGATATTTCTTAGAAATGCTTTCAAGTAGTTTATTCTTTAGGGTTCTAAGCCTCCCTCCATGGCCAAAAATATCTGTCCTTTCCTTGTACAATTAAGGAGGGGTACGTGGGGTATGGCTTCTTTTTATTATCTTATTCAACAAGTGGTGCTCGTGATAAGTTATAATAAAAATAATAATTAGATCGCGTGTTTCATTTGAATGTAAAAAAAAAAAATATTAAGGTTTTAGGTATGAATACGGTAAAATTTTAAATTTTTTTAAATTATTTATTTTATTATGAAAGTTTTTTAAAAATTTCAAAAATTTTCATTAAAAATCTCTTTCTTGCATTATTGAATGAAAAGATCTTATCCCGTTATAATTAAAGACGTGAAATTTTATATGAACAACGCGTATTTGATTCATAATTAACTTTTAAAAAAAGTAAATGAAAATATAAAAAACACGTGATACAAGTGAATTTTATTCACATAGCAATCATTGAATCTCATCTAATTATTGCCAAAGAGATTTTTTTTTTTTTGTTTTTCTAGAATGCCCAGACCTCTATAATTGAAAGATAAAGACAACCATAAAAAGAAAATTAAAATAATCAATATCCATAAATATCATACTTATTGTGATCAATATCTGATAATTTCTTGAACCATACGTATCAACATTGGTGTTGAAAAGAAGAGTAGGTTTTGATGGTTTCTCTGCAGGCAATGCATGCCCTTGGGTCAGCTACCCAGCTTTTGGTTTTCATGGGAAAAAAAGGCTCCATAAGCTGGAACATTTACGATGCATGACAACACTAACAATGTTTCCTAGTTAGGTTTGGTGCAAAAACAATAGAAATTAAGAAAAAAAATAAAGAAAAAAATGGAGGTAATGCCGCCAGTGATACAAGTGAAAAGGACTAACCCTAATGAAGACCAAGACAGAAACGTTAGCAAATATTTAATAAGCAGAGAGGGAGAGAGAGAGAGAGAGAGA